TACAAAAAAAAAAAAAAGAAAAATCAGTCTTGTAAAGATGATATTAGGAGCCCAACAGTAAGACTTCACATTGATTCCTGAAAGATCTCATCTCATTTGATTCAGGTCCTCAAGTGAAATAAATGAAATTAAAATGTAATTGGGAAATATTTTTTAAATAAATAAAAATATAACAGAACATGAGTAGTGTTAATCCATGTTTGTCTAAGTCAATATATGGCCTGCAGGGATCTTTATGTACCAGTTTAGGGGCCCCTATTTCTATTTGAGTTTGACAGCACTGTTCTAGCCTTTCAAGACCTATGAGTCCTGTCTCTTATCGTTCATAATTGTAGCCATCCCTCCTTCCTATACATCATCTACAAATCTGATAAATACACTACCTATCACTTTACCTAAATCATGGACAAAAAGATGTTAAATAGCACAGGACAAATGAAGGTCTTGGAAATACTCCCTAGAAGGGGCAGCTAGGTGGTGCAGTGGATAGAGCACTGGCCCTGAACTCAGGAGGACCTGAGTTCAAATCTGACCTCAGACCCAACACTTGATACTTACTAGCTGGGTGACCTTGGGCAAGTCACTTAACCCCAATTGCCTAAAAGCCAAAAAAAAAAAAAGAAATACTCCCTAGAAGACATCTTCCCACATTGACTTATTATCAATAGTGACATTTTGGATCTAGTCAATAAGTCAGTGCTGAATCCACCCAATTGTACTCTGATCTCATCTATAACTTTTCGTCTTAACCGTAAGACTAGAGTGAGAGATTTTATTGGGCGCTTTGCTAAAATATGTCAGGTACATCTAAAATATTTGCCTGGCCTATCAGTTTAATAACTCTGTGAAAAGTGGAAATCAGTTTAGTCTGGCATAATCTAATTTTGAGGACATCATGCCAATTTTGTGATTATTGTTCCTTTCCCTAAATATTAATTAACCATCCTTTTATTAATACATTCTAGAATTATGCCAGGAATCCAAGTCAACCCCACTAGACTAGAAGTTTTGACTCAATTTTGCTACATTTTTTTTAAAAATCGGGACAATGTTTTCCCATGTCCGGTGCTGCTATCTTCCTCTTGTTCCGAGTCTTTCAAGTATCACTAACAATCCCTCAGCAATCCCACCTGCCGATTCTTTTAGTACTCAAGGATGCAGTTCACCTGCGTCCAGTGACAAGCTCAAAAGAACAACGCACTTTCCTATCTTCTCTTCTAAGTGCTGGGTGCCCTTCTTAGGAACTTCCTATCAGTCGTTCATGTTCCATCCTTCCAGTCCAAAAGTCATTCTTCTTGGCAGAGAAAACAGAAACAAAGTAAGTATTGAGTGTTTCTCTCCTCTCTGTTTTCAACCATCATCATCCCGTTCACCCAGAACAACAGTCCTAACCCTCCTTTCATCTTCTAATTTTTCATAACCCCAATTCTTTTCATATTCTTGCCTTTCCTCCCTGCTTCATCTCATTTTGAGCGTCAGCAACCTTAAAACTGTTGTTACAGAAATGTTCCATGTTTTTGTATTTATCCTTCATTACCTCTTACACACACACTTGTAAAGCTCTTGGCAAAATTTTAAGTGCTACTTAAAGGCAACTTATTGTGTATATTATGTATGATGTCATTACATTGCCATTGATTCTGTTGCCATTAGTGTCTTAAAAATCTAAGCTGGTTGGTGAATTTCCCGTGCATCCCCATTTTTATCTTTAGAAAACCTTCCTCTTGCCTCTTCCTTGAAACTGTTTCCCTTTGGTTCAGCAGAATTTCATTGTCGAGCTTCCAATTTCCCCTGGGAAGACCTCCCTTGTAGAATTTTAGTATATGCACCCTACCCACCCTCTCACTGAAGCCTTTGATATCTGCTCTCCCCAGATCTAGGCAACATGTCAAATCTGCTCTCCCCAGATCTAGGCAACATGTCAAATCATTTCCAGCTATCTTCTCCTCTGTCACAAATTCCAAGATGGAAGGGTCCCTTACCTCCTCAAGGTTCCTATCCTTTCAACCCCTTCCACAGCCATTTCCTCCTTATTCCTCAGATCCAGAATAGAATCTCTCTGTTGGTTCCTACACTTTTTGAAAAATAAGATTATCATTAAGTGAGGTGATGAAATTCTTGGCTATTCTGCCTTTTTTTTTTAAGAGAAAGCCCAGTCAATGACCAGGTAAGCAAAGTCCCCTATCACGACTATATTATTCCCCTGTTGTAGGCTTATAATCTCCATCATACTTCTTTTCTCTTGTCCTTGGACTTCCTCACATGGGTACATCTCTTAATATACAGTGCTGTACTATCAACACATCAACCCCCATACCCATATCCATACCCACAAATAGAGTTTCTTTTGAATAAGATCCTTATTCAAAAATGAGATTTGAGTAAGTGGCCCCCGCTGCCACCCAGAGACCACTGATTACCATCACCACTCACTCCAGGCACAGAATACTCAGTCCTGGATAAAAAATGAGCTGGTCTAGAAGGCCAAACTGACCAAGTCAGATGTGAGACATGATAGCATGGAAGCCATTGTGACATCTGTAACCCAACAAAGACAGGAACTATCTGATGAAGAGAGGGATCCTTTCTCCATTGCTTACATAAATGTCATAGGAGCCCAGAAGTCACCTTTGAGGATCATTTCAAGTATTGAGCAAAAGAAGGAAGGTGCTGAGGTAAAAAAAAAGCAAGAGATAAGCTGAGAATAGAGAGAGAAAATTGAGACATCAATGAGATATTTGCACTGCATCTACCAGAAAAAGTTTTTGATCCCTAATGCTTCACAAGCTTTAGAAAGCAAAGTTTTCTACATGAAAATTAAGGAAGATCATTGACTATTACTTGGCTGAGATTGCTGTTGAGGATGGCAAGAAAGAAAAAGTGGATTAATCACAACAAACATATCAAGAATCATTTGAAATCAAGAAAAAAGTAATGCAACCAATGCACCATTAAGTTTGGATCTGGCCCTGAACATCTCCATGTTTCACTATGAGATCCTAACCTCTCTGGAAAAAGCTTGTTCCCTCTGAATAACAGCCTCTGTCAAAGCCATTACTGTATGGGATTTGATGGGTGAACAATCATACAAGAACAACACACTAATAATGCAAATGCTGAATGAGAATGTGGGGTGGTAGACATCAATACGATGCCAGTAAAAGTCACTGCGTATCAAACATGGTAGTGAAACAAAAAGGATGTATGTAAAAAGTATGTCACTTCTGACCTGTTTAACTTTTTTGCTTCTGTGATTTTTTTATACTTGCCAAATAGGCATAGCTAACAGGGAAATAACTTGAGATGGTGGCTAGCTTTGTTTAACATCTCACAAAAAGTTTGATGAACTAGCCGAGCGTAATTCTTAAGAATATGTATATCAAGTTGATGAAGTAAAATAAAATGTTATGAATGAAAGAATACAGAATGAGCTATACTCTTCTAGAATAGAAGATGAAGAGAATGGGACTGGAAGAGGTCTTTGGATAAAGGGAAGTTTGTTGATGATAGAACAAGGATTCCAGAGATATCTCTTCAGCTCATCACTTCCATGGGGAATTTAAATGGATTCCATTCTACCATGGAAATGATGGGAACTCTAGAGGGGTAGAGCTAAAGAGAATGGGGATGAGCAAATAAGAAGCAGCAGCTGGCAAAGTACATTTTTGCTTCAGTAGACAGGGACAGGGAGTTAAAGGGATTAGAAAAGGATTAGGAAGGAATTTGCTAACCATGTGATTGGGCCAGTACCAGGTGACTAGGGCTCCCACCTTTCAGAATCACAGGATAATAGAAGGGTTGATTTGTTCTCCATCCAAAAACCAAGGAAGAAGAGATGAGCCAGAAGGGAAATCAGGTTGGGCATCTAGGTTAGTAAATAGCTGCTGAGTCAATCCTCAGGAACCTGAGTTCATACTTGGTGCTCTTGCCTCATCTCAAGATGACAAGTGCCAATGAATACCCAGCAAACACCTCAGGTGGGGGAGCATGTACTTGGCTCCAGGTTGGTCCTGGTGTCTGAGACACTGATCCTCAGAGAGACTGTTATCAAAGGGCCAAGTGTCTGAGTGCCCGGCGGTCACACAAGACAGACGTTTGGTTTTCTGCACAGATGTTTCAGTAAAGTAAAACAGGTAAAGTTTCTAGATGTGGCAGTAGACTTCAGAGCAAAAAGGCATTCACATACAGTTTCTGAAAGAAACCTCACTTTCATGGGCCCAGTGGTGACAAAGAAAGTTGGAGCTGGCCCACCTACCTGGGGGCCTAGTTGTTATGGTCAGACGAAGCACTGTTATTTTCTCAGGCCGTAATGGCAATCTGTCCGACACGTGGTGGTCTCCTGCCACCTACTTGGCTTCCAAGGACAAAGTACTTGGTAGTAACAGAAGGCTGTACCATGGCATGTTCTCAGAAGGTCCAACAGCCACCACATGTGGTAGTAGATTCCAGATCAGGTTAAGGAATGTTCTGTAGCCAATCTCTGAAAGGGGCAGAGATAGACCTGTGCTAGACACTGGGGGAGATACAAAAATTAAATAAGCCCTGGTCTTCTCCTCTAGAAGTTTAGAATCTAGTCTATCTGATGAAAGCCTACTCTCAGATGTTTAGAAGGAATCTGATCACCTCATTTACTTTAAGGTGTTATTGAAGGGGGGTAACTTAATGGGCACCAATTTAATAGGACAGAATGTAACCCAAAAAAGTATAGCTCCCTTAGTAGAATCCCAGGCACCAGTAGGAGCCCTACAAGAGAAATTACTTTGGGGTCAAAGAAATCCCTCAAACTCGACTTCATAGGTTACCATCTATTCTCTGCCTTTGAAGTATCCACCTTTCCAGAGTAAGGGTTCTACTGCCAAGTCTGTCCCTCTTCCTCACCAAAAGGGTTCAGTATCTGAAATCCTGAAGAATTCTGACTTATTTAAACTTGTGTGTCATTGGCATAAAAAGGGAAATATGCAGAGTTTTTAATATAGAGGGTTTTGTTGTTGTTTTTACAGGCAAAACAGTCCTATCACATAGAAATGGTGGCGGCCTCTTTGACTATTTCAGCCTTAGGTAAGTAAAACATTTGTGAACTGGAGAGAGAGAGAAAGATTGAGAGGGGGAGAGAGAGAGAGAGAGAGAGAGAGAGAGAGAGAGAGAGAGAGAGAGAGAGAGAGAGAGAGAGAGAGAGAGAGAGAAATGTATAGGTTTTAACTCTGGGAATATGACTCCAAATCCAGCACTTTGGGGATGAGAAGGGGTGCTATATTATGCTACATATAGTAAATAAAATTCTCTGCTAAGAACTAAAAGCTATAGGGCAAAAGATCTATTGGATATGAGTTAGATAAATTCCACATGTCCACAAATCCAAAGGTTAACATCACCAATCATCAATTAAGCATGACCTCACAGGTATCTCATGCACATATTAGACATTAGCCAGCAAGTAAGACTTTTCTTAACATAAACTGGCTCACATTGACACTAGTCATGGGCAAGAGTTTAGCTAATGATCTTTAGTAATTGAAATTTGGTCCATTGGGTCAGGGTTAAAGGAAGGCAGAATTCAGACTGACTACATGGGATGGTGAGTTGAGGAAGGAAGACTACGGTAGCTCCAGGGCTGCAGCAGCAAGTTATGGAGGATGAGGGGTGGTAGAGTTACATGTATACATGTACAATGTGGGACATTTGTTAAATGTAGGATTCCTCCTATGTCATAGATCTGATCATTATCACTGGTAATTTTCACTCTTCTGATCAGAAAAACAAAAATCAAAACTTCAACAACTCCTTATTGCCTTCCAAGTAAAATTCAAACCCATTTGCCAAGCATTCAAGATGTCCCACTACCTGTCACCTTTCTAGTCTGTTTTCTACAGCTCCTTGTCCTCTGTCCTCTAACCAAACAACACTCATCTCTGTCCCTGAAAATGCCCTGGACTTCCCCACCTCTGTATTTTGGCTCATAATGTTCCCTGTGCCTGGAAAGTCCTTACTTCCCCTTCTTCACCTGGTGAATTCTTGCCCGCATTAATAATGATATAACTAATATTTATGTAGCACTTACTATGTGCCAGGCACTGTGCTAAGAGCTTTACAATTATTATCTCATTTGATCCTCTATAAGGAACAACCCTCTGAGGTGGGTGCTATTATAACCCCCATTTTATAACTGAAGAAACTGAGGCAGATAGAGGTTAAGTGATTTGCCCAAGTGACTTACACAACTATTAAGTATCTAAGGTCAAATTTGAATTCAGGTCTTTCTGACTATAGGCTCAGTGTCCTGTTCACCACACTCAGCTAACTGCCGCCTCCTTCATGAAGCTTACCCTTATCCTTCACAATATATAATGAAACCCATCACCACCACCATCACCAATTCCCATAGGCATTTCATTTTGTACCTTCTTGATACTTTTCGCTTGTATTATAGCTATTTGTAAAGTTAATCATATCTTCTTTGCTGTTGTTGAGTCATTTCAGTCATGCCCAACTCTTTGTGAGCCCCTGTGTAGTTTTCTTGGAAAAGATACTGGAGTGGTTTGCCATTTCCTTCTCCAACTCATGCTACAGATGAGGAACTGAAAAAAACAGGGACAAGTGACTTGCCCAGTGTTACATAGGTAGTAAATGTCTGAGGCCAGATTTGAACCCAGGAAGATGAGTCTTCCTGACACCAGGCTCAGTGTTCTAGCCACTACTGAGCTTAATAAATATGTTGAAATGAACTGAATTGACAACCTTTCCATGATCCTTTCTAGCTATAAGATGACTCAATTAATCAATAAGTATTTATTAAGTGCTTATCACTTGCCAGCTATTATACTAAGTGCAAGAGATATATAGAAACAGCTAATACAGCTCCCGCCCTCAAGGAGCTTACATTCTAATTAGAGAGAGTAGATCCGAGGTAACCTTAGAGCTGAAGGCACTAGTAGCTGGGGGGATAGCAGCTTCCTGCAGAAGGTAGCAAGTGAACTGATTCAGGGCTTCTAAGAGGGGGAGATGAGGAGGCAGAGCATTGCAGATGTTTACAGGCAGTGTAGACCAAAGGTTTCTAAGTCCCTGTGTGTGGATAACTGGAAGTTTATAATGTATGATGAGCGAATGTGGATACGTACAGTGCTAGGTAGATATACATACTAGCTCTGCCACTAGGATTTTAAATGGCTAAAGAAAAAATTCCAACCAATTCTTATTTCCTCTTTTTTCCCCCTCTTTTTTATATGGGATTTACCCATATGAGGTATCAAAAAAAATTCCCCCAAATGCAACAGAAATGCTTTCATTACCACACAGTGGCTGACCTTCAAACGGTCTCCAAGAAACAAGATTACCCACCCACACAGGCTACCTCCCACATTTTCTTCCACACTAGAGGATTAAAGGGGTGGCTGGCTCATCCCTTTGATGATTGTGACTATTTGAATAGGCAAAAATCACTCACCATAACTAGTACAGCTAAAAAGCCTATGCTTGCATCCCAGGGAAGCAGAATGGTGAAGGGAAAAGAACTAAAAGATCCAGGTTCAAGTCCAAGCTCTAATCTAGCTTGCATGTGACTTTGGGCAAGTCCTTTACCTTCTCTGGGCCCCTGTTTTCTCATTAGGATCTCCAAAGTCCTTCCCAGCTCTAACCTTCTGATCCTTCTTGGTGTTTGCAGCGAAAGTCTACAGTGGCCTGAAAGGTGGGCTGACTATGTTTGAGACCAAGGTGGGGCACTCCTTCAAGTGTATCAGTGAACAGAGTCTTCAGCTATCATCTCATCTCCAGGTGCACACTGTTAATGTTCAACTCCAAGCCTTTGATTTTGATGGTGAACACTTTGGGAATGGTAAGTTGTGAGGAAGGGGAGGAAAAACTCACCGAGTTCATAGAGAGAGACATAAGAGACAGCTCCAAACATTGCTGACACAGCCATGGCAACGGACGCCCTAGAAACTCTGTGTGTGTGTGTGTGTGTGTGTGTGTGTATGTGTGTGTGTGTGTGTGCACGTGCGTGTGAACTTAGACTAGTAGGCATGTATTTGCATGCTAAAACATCTGTCTGCACAACTTGTCAGGATATACCTACCCCCTTCATCGGCAGCATCCCTCCCACACACACACATACACATATTCAAACACAAAACACAGACCTCCCTATCATATACTTTATCCCACGTGCATGTACTCACTCATGCTTAGACAAGTATTCATTTATTTACACTAAATCAAACACATTTAAAATGGGAAATGTGCATGATTTAAAGAAGGTAGTGTGGTGCAATGGAATGTGTGATGGAGGGAAAAGAGAGATAGAGAAGTCCCAAGTTCCAATCCTGGCTCTGCAACTTACTACTTAGGTGACAGTAGTTAAGTCATTTAACTTCTCTGGGCCTTAGTTTCCTCGATTATAAAATAAAGGAATTATACTGGACAACTTCTAAGGCTCCTTCCTTTGACCCTACACAATCTCAACAATATAATTAAGCAGGACCAAGGCCTTGCTCTTAAAAAAACACATTTATTTACTCTTATCCAGGTGATCAAATAAGCATGGTCAATAGCATATGCATGCACACATGCTTATGCACATGCCCGCACACATGCTTATGCACATGCCCACACACACACCAAGCTTATTTACACACAGTTATATTCTTCTGTCTTGGATATATTGGGAGAACACCTTTGAGATCTTGTAACACTTCTCAACTCAGATCCCAAATTTGTGCTTAAGGAGAGTTAAAATTCAGGATCTCAGTTACAGAACCTATCTCATTCTTATTATTAGAACTAGAAATTAACATTAAAGAGAAAACTGATAATTCAAAACAACAGTAAGCCATTTTTGGAAGCCATTCCTCCTAGCTATCAGCAGCTGTCCATTAGCAACCTTAAAAAGGGCTTTCTCATAGTCATTTATTTTCCATCCAACTTCTGTTTTGATTTTAACCACCAAGGTGGGAACTCACAATGTGACTCAGGATTTTGGTATTTTGATAATCCTGGAAGTCTTCATTTTGGGTTATCTTTCAAGAGGTAACTAGCAAATTCTTTTGATTTTCATTTTACTCTCTCATCCTAGTACATCTGACCAGTTTTCATTCATGATGTCTTGAAATACAGTATACAGGATTTTTTTTGTGGGGATGGGGTTAATAAGGGGTCATGGTTTTTAGGTAGTCTGATTATTCTTAAATTATCTCTCTTTAACTTGTTTTTTCAGGTCAGTTATTTTTTATAGTAGATACTTTACATTTTTATCTATGTTATTCTATGTTTGTCTATGTTATTTTATCTATGTTATTCAAACTTTTGTTCTAATATTTCTTGCTGTCTCATGGAGTCATTATATTCAGTTTGGTTCATTCTAATTTTCATGAAGTCTTAGATAAAATTTCCAGCTTCTGTTACAAACTATTCTCCTTCTAATTATTTTTTTCCAGAGCTCTCATGTCATTTATAATTTCTTTTTTACTTCTTATTTATTTGTCCTTGTGGCTAAGCCTTTTTTTTTTTTTTGAGGCTCTGCTTGTAGTTGTTGTGAAGTTAGTATTTTCTTCAATGTTAATCTCTTGGGTATCTCTGGACCCATAATACTCCTTTGTAGTGTTTGATGTCCTCTTCTGTTTACTCATATCAATAACCTCAGCTTCCCATTTGGTTTTTTTGTACCATAGACAGTCCCCTCTCACATTCTTGTATGAGGTGGTCAGGCCCTATTTGATCCTGAACTCAATTTCCCAGGCTCCAGCCTTTGGCTTCTACCTGTCCTTATGTGTCTCTGTGTTGAGCGCTGGCAGGCTTCAGTGTCTTGGCTGGAGCTCTACAATCTACTAATTCCAATTTGGGCATTATTGTGGGCTACCAGATTGTTCACTTGAGCTCATGCTGGCTTTCCCAGTATGATATCTCTTCCAGACTCTATGGTTCCTTACTGTCTTCTTGTGCAGTCTTTGGTTGGGTAAAGCAGCTTAATGACATTTCTATTTAAATTTCTTGATCACTATTTGACCTAGTTCCTTTTTTTGGTTTGTTTCTGAAGCAGATAGAGGAAAATTGGACTTTTCTACAGCCGCGCCTCATCTTAACTGGAAGCCTCTGTTTTCATGCCTTCCTGTTCCGTTATTTTTGTCCATTTTTTCCATCAATTCTCCAAAAAATGATCTAACATTAGTATTTTAGAGGTATCAATATATGCTCAAGCTGCTCCTTAAGAAAGTATAATACAATGGAAGACTATTGGCTTCAGAGTCAACAGACCTCAGATCAAATTCCTCTTCAGTTACTTATTAGCTGTGTGACCATGGGAAAGTCTCTTTCCCTTTCTGGGCCTTTGGTCTCCTTTCTGTAAATGAGTGTGTTGGACTAGATGAGCTCTAAGATTCTCTCCAGCTCTAAATGTAAGATCCTACCATTTCCCAATCTTGCTACATGACCAGCCCATTTCCTTTCCTGGTCTGTCATAAAGATATATATGAGCATTACTGTATAGTAAAAAGACACTGACCTTACAATCAGGGGATAAGGGTTCAAGCTTTGCCTCTGTCATGTACTAGCTGTGACCTTAGAAAGTCCCTTTACTCATCTGTAGAATAAGAGGGTTAGACCAGATGACCTCTAAGATCTCTCCCAGCTCTGAACTAAATCATAGGATCCTCTGAACATTTTTTTAAAGGTGATATTAAAAACATTTCATCCTGCTGCCTACCTGGCTGAAAATAGATTACTAGCTCATCTTATCTTATCCTTGGCAGTGTCTATTGACCACTTGACTTTGAGAAAATAACTAAACTCTCTCCCCTTCAATTTCCTCATGTGTAAATTTCGGGCTGACACGTGTATCAGCTCGTCCTGGCTGCCCCTGCCCAGGTGTAATATTTCTCACTCTAACTTCAATTGCAGCAGATGAATGCTTCAGTGATAAAAACAGGAGAGCAATCCCTGTGGCTGTGGGCCTGAGTATCGCAGGATTGTTTGGGGTTTTGCTTACGGCATGCCTCGTTGCCAGGAAGCGGCCCGGCAGAGGATATGAACGTGTCTAAAAGCACCTACCTTCTTCAAAATGTGCGTAGCAAGTTCATTGGCATTGGGCATTGCCTTACTATAGTTCAGCCTAGTGATTGACTTCTTCTCTGGCTGGATACCATACCCTAAGAATTCAGACAGGAGACTCTGGTATGAGGCTGCCCAGCCACTGTGCCAGCAGGATTGTCTGGGGCCCAGGGGGAGAGAAAGGCAGCTGGGACAGGAGTTGCTAGAGTTTCCCCTTATGGCTTACTCAGGCTGACTTATAAATCTCTCATTTCTGTAAAGGAGTGGAGAGCAAAGTGAGCCAGTGGTGAGCTGGGCACCCATAAAAGGAAGAAAACTTCTCAAAATTTAGGAGATGTGTTCCCCAACTGTGCACACGCTTCTTGTACATTTCGTAGCTAATCTGAGTCTTTTGTGTTATTAAGAATATGATTTTATAAAATCAGTGAACTTAGACAAATCTATATGGGTTTCCAAAAGTCTTTTAAAACCCTTAGATTCAGGACGAAAATCCAACTTCAGATTAGGATTGAGTTGGAAAATTGACAAATTTTGCAAGAAATGAGTATATTGTAGAGGGATATCTAGTCAGTCATTTTTAAAAATTTTCTAAACCTTTACATTCACTTTAAGATTCATTTATTCTCTGTTCTCTTGATCCTCTTTCTGTCTATCTGTCTGTGTTTATTCTGTTTTTCTGTCTCTGGCATATCCCTTGTCCCTGCTCTGTGCTTCCTGATTTCCTCTTCTATATTTAGGGACAGTTTGGGTATACTTTTTCTCTTACAAAACATTAAAACATAATCAGAAGTTTGAGGACTAGTACTGCCTTGAGGACTAGTACTGTCAGAGAGAGGGTACTCTCTTTCTCTTTTGCAAGCATTTTAAAGATTTATAAAGCAATGATTCTTGGCAAGAAAGGTACACTAAATAGAGGAAAAAATATTCTGTTCCAATAGACAACCTACCTTTTCCTGCAAAATAGGCTGTATTTAAATATGATGACCTAGAATTTTGAGGCAACAGAGGGTAGTAGATAGAGTGAATTATTTGCAGTTGGGAAGTCCTGGGTTCAGATATGGCCTCTGCCACTTAGCTGTATGGCAAGTCACTTAATCCTTAAGACTATTAATACAATCACATTTATTTTACAACACCTAAAATTCTACAGAGACAAGAGAGAATGGGCTTCTACATACTGAAGATATTTTTTTTTCAAACTGTTTTTTAAGAACAAGACTTTTTCTCCCCAAGGACACAGCTAATTATTTATCTTAGGACATTCACAGAAATTGAGAACTCCTCAGTTGTTGTAGCTGCAGCTAGGAAATATACTGGTTGTCATTTGGGAGAATTTCCATACCCTAAATTTCTTTGAAGTGTCAGGAATGGAAGAGGGTCTCTGAAGCCTCCAGAAAGTACTATCATAGCCTCTCTAAAGTGTCAAGAAATCCCAAACTGAGTTACTTATGATTTCATGCCCAAGATGTCCATTACAACTCTTCTTAATCAATGGCAAACCATATTGCCCAGAGTAACTCAGGGCTGATGGAGCCATAGACAGAATGCTCAGTAGAGGAAACGGTAGAAAAAATATTGACTCAGGAGTCAAAAGACCAATTCTAAGATCAAATATGACCTCAGAAAACTACTACCAATGTCAATTTGGTCAAGCCACATAACATCCCAAGCCCTCAGTTTCCCCATTTAGAAATGAAGGGGTATGTGGCCTCCGAGGGCTCCTGGCTCTAAGACTATGACAGGCTTTGAGGACAAGAAATGGGGCTCACATACCTGCCTAGTTTCATGTAGCTATTAGAGGAACCTTACACTCATCTGAAGTTCCCATGTTATCATGTTTGGAATATCAGTGAATACTAAAATAGCCTTCATTACACATTGTTCATGTGTCCTGTCCTAGCTTGATTAATCTTGCTGTTACAGTCCCAAAGCAAGATTAATCTTTTATTACTAGGAAATTTTTCCAGACCAAAATTTTGTTGATTAAATGAGATACCTGGGATGATGTGATGGAATTAGAAGTCCTGAACATAAAAATGAGTCAGATCTGTTTGTTTTCCATTTCTCTTTTTTACAATCATTAATGTTATTTGATGCTGGTTATCCTAGAATCGTTACCCTCCTCTGTAAAGGAGTAAGGTTGGATGAGATGGTCTCTAACGTTCCTTCCAGTTCTAAATTCTAAATTTGGAAGAATGATTCCAAGCCAAATTTTCTGAAGTCATCGTTGGAGCTGAAAGGGAACAGCGAAGAGTTCCGCTCTATAGTGGACGATAAAGAGTTTGGAAGTGTTTTGGTTAGAATGGTGTCAAACCACGGGTTATATGAATGGGGTGAGCTGGCCTCCTCATCCTCTTGGGTCCTGCCTTTGTACAGGTCATAGCTTTGAAGCTGTGCTGTAAGGCCAACAGGGCTGTGGAATGATGGGTATGAAGGAGCATGGAGATGTGTCAAGATAAGTAGAATGATACAAGGGTAAGAAGCCGGTGGCCTTGATGTCTGGCTCCTGAGAGAAAGAGAACTCCTTACTCTCTCCTTCATTCCCAACAAGCTACCAGTTGCCCATCTGGTCTAATTTCTGGGAATGCTGGCTGTAGCTCTTGCTGGCTGAGGCTTATTGGTGGGACCTTTCCCAGGTCTCCAGCTCTCTGCTAGCTTGCCCATCATGCACTTGCTTCCAAATTATTCTCTCATTCTACTAGGTTTTCTATTATTGTTTTTCTAATGATATAGAGCTTTTCAACCTGAATTTCTACTTCCTCCCCTCAATGCTGACTAGGCTTCTGAGGTCTCTTGCCAGGGAAATGATACTAGATTCCAACAGGTACTGTGGGCAAAGGGTTTTCCCACTCAGGGGAAGGGGACCAGAGACTCTTAACCATTTGGGGTTTGGGAACTTAGATTGGAAAAAAATGAATACTGGTTTTGTAATCTTATGTATTTTATATTATGCATTTTAAAATATTATTCTAAAACAGGATCCTCAGGTTCCACTAGATTACCAGAAGGGTCTGTGACACATACAAGAGGAAAAGAACCCTTGGTGCTAAACTAAAATAAACTTCAAAGCTCCCTTCCAGCTTGTGATTCTGTCATTTTTCTCAACTCAGTCACATAATACTCTGCTATGTATTCAAAATGATTCGGAAGGAAAGAACACAATGATGTTGTCAGAAACAGGTATCTTTCTTCAAGACAAACGTAGATTAATTTTTTAATTATGAATCACAGTCCACTGGAATAAAGTAAAATACTGATTTGCCAAGTTGACCAACATCATCTTTTTTAGCTTTCATAAATACATGGCAGTGAAGCATAATGGTTAGATGGCTAGCCTTGGAATCAAGAAGACCAGGGTTTAAGATCTGCCTTAACTGGTTGTGTGACCTGGGCAAGTCACATAGTACTTAATACCCCAAGCAACTTTCTAAGACTAAAAGTCATAGACAAGTTACTGAACGGTCAAGGAAAGTTCTATATAGAAGTTCTCCATACAGATAAAACTCTCCCTTCTCCTGCCTCCCCTCCCAAAAAACAAAACAAAACAAAAACCAACACCTAACTGAGGACCGTTTTATAACAATTCTGGTTCATTGAAAGAGAGAAAAAAAATCATTAAAATCTAAATATTATTACCAAGCAGAAAGTATGGGTGATCTAACGTTTTCAAAATACTACCCATCTAGTGATATAAATTATCTTCAATAATATTTGAGACCCTTCTCTGCAGGACAAAAGTCCATAGAGGACTCCTTATTATCTGGAAGACTGAGCTGTCAGAGCCTTACTCTTTGCCTGCTATCCTGCATCTGTCTCTTCTTTTAGTGATCGAGTGCACATCCGACTACACAATTGTGATTCCAGTGATTGTCGTGATAGTCATTCCTCTCTGCATCCTGGTCTTGGTTTTCTGCGGAATTCGTCTGAGGAGGAAATCCTTGGGATACCAGAGGATCTAGTCGGTATCAAGAATCCCAGAAGAAATGAAAGAGTTTGGAATTCTTCTATCATCTCCAAGACCTTAGGGAATTCCTTTGTAGCATGTTCTTAGAGTAACATTCGCTGCGCTAGTCTCAAACCCCAGCATTTCCCAAATGTTCACGGTTTGGTGCCGGAGAGACGAGGTAGGAGGGGCTTGTGTGACAAGATTTAGTTGGTTATTGAAGGGCCCTAATTGGTTTCCCCAGTAAAAGGCGTTCCATCAAAGGACACAAGAGCACCAGAATAACAAAATACTCTGTGAAAGGGAACAAGCCTTCGCGCCTGGCCGTCCCCCAGCCGGCTGTTAAAGAGACCTGCACTGCTTGTTGTTAGTTTTTTTCATTTGTTCGGGAGATGTGGCCTCCTTGGCCAAAAGTTAGACTTTCTTTTTTGTCTTTGACATTATCAAGGTATTTTCTCACTCTGGGCTTCGGTTTTCTCATTTGTAAAATGGGAGGATTAGTCTCCTGGCCTCTAGGGCACCTTCCAGCTCTAAATTCATGAACCTATGACCTCTGGGCCTCAGTTCCCTGGGGGGGCGGGGGGTTGGATCCCATGGCTTCTAGCTCTAGATCTGTGTTCTTTGGAACTCTGCCAAGGAGAATGCAAAGGCAGTGCTTTTGCTGGCTCTTTAGTTTGTGATATGAGCATGCTAGTCGATACCCTAGAATTTTGATGTAAGGTGGTAAAATTTTTTTAAAAAATGAACGTCTATATCTTATATACGCATTTATACAAATGTTTGTTTTTCATCTTTCGATCCCCCCCTCCTAGCACAGAGCCTTGTACACAGTTGGAATTTAATAAATGTTTGCTGAATTGAATAGAATTGAACTGAATTGAATTATATATACTCCTCTCTTAAAGCAACAATTGACTGAAGGGAGAAACAGATTAATGGGTATAAATAAGAAACCAGAAAATCTACTCCCAGCATCACAGATTTAAGGTGGAGACCTTGGAAAGTATGTCATCAAACGCCCTCATTTTACAGTCAGTTGGTCAACAATTATTCATTAAGCACTTTGTGCATGCTTGCCACTATAATACATACTTGGGGTCCAAAGAAAGGCAAAAACAGCCCCTGACCTCCAGGAGCTCACATTCTAATGAGGGAGAGGACATGTAAATAAATAGGTAAATACAAGATATATATTGTTTGTCCTTCATTCTCAAAGAGGCTTGTGACATCAGTGAGGTAATGTCATGACTTACAAGGGAATTGGATTTAAGTGAGGCAGGGCTGTGCAAGTCCCCAGCTTCCCTTTCTCCTCCAGACCCAGTTGGGTCCAGTAGCAAGATATAGATCAGGATGACTGGAGATGGCCCTAAATGCAGTAGGGAGACCTTGGCCTTTTTAAGCTAAGTTCCTTTCCAGGCCTCAGTTTGTCTGAGGCAATGCCCATTCAGTGATTAAGGCTAGGTAAAAAGGAGGTAAAGAATGGCCTCTTTTACCTAGTTAAACAAAATCAGTCTGGGAGGGGAAGACTCTCAAGAGTCTTTGCTATTTACACTTGCTATTTACACTTACTCTGGCCATCAGAACCCAAACAATGACTGCATGGTGAGGTTTGGGCTGGGACCTATTGTTGGCCAGTCAATGAGAGCCAGAGTGATTTGGGTTGAAGGAAGGAAGGAAGAAAGGAAGGAAGGAAGGAAGGAAGGAAGGAAGGGAGGAAGGAAGGAAGGAAGGAAGGAAGGAAGGAAGGAAGGAAGGAAGGAAGGAAGGAAGGAAGGAAGGAAGGAAGGAAGGAAGGAAGGAAGGAAGGAAGGAAGGAAGGGACACACAAGATATATACCGAGTAAATGGAAATTAATCTTAGAAGGCAAGGCATTTACAGCTGGGGATGGTGGTGGTGACTAACACTAAGATTCTACAAGATGAGGATTGAGAAAAAGCCATTTGGTTTGGTAGTTAAGAGATCATGGGGAACTTTGAAGAGAGCAGTTTTGGTTGAATGATGAAACCCGAAGCCCAGATTATGGAAGATTTTAAAAAGAATTAGAGATAAGGAAATGGAGACATCAAATACAGATGGCCTTCTCAAAGAGTTTAGCTGAAAAGTGGAGAAGAGCTATCTAGTGGCACTGTGGGAAGAAGAGATGACAAACTTTCTTCTGGAGCAGTCAAATGACAGATAATGGATAAAAGGGGCAGCTAGGTGGTACAGCGGATAGAGTGCCCAGCCTGGAGTCAGGCGGACTCATCTTCCTGAGTTCAAATCTGGACTCAGACATTTACTGGCTGTGTGACCCTAGACAAGTCACTTAACCCTGTTTGCCTCAGTTTCCTTATATGTAAATCTGTAAAATGGGTCAGAGAAGTAAATGGCAAACTGCTCTAGTATATTTGTCAAGAAAACCACAAAGAATTAGATGCTACTGAAAACGACTGAATAATAACAACAAAAATGACTAACAAGCATTGTATTATAAGATAATGATTCTAAGTTATCACTGAGTCCTAGACAAATGCACTCTCTAGTTTTACATAGCAATGGGTTTATTTTGATGTACAAAAGATGTAGGCTAGAAACAAAGAAGAATTTCCTAGTAGTGAAGGTTTTTCAGCAAGTGGTTGAGGAAAAAAGGAAGATTTTAAATACAGGATAACTTCTGTCCAGGAAAGAGCTGGGGCTCTTTCCAAGGATAGTTCAATGGACAACAGGACCTCTGAAGTTCTTGTCCAATGCTATGATTCTACTCCAACCCTCTCCAATTCTTCCAAAGCCTTTGTATCTATTTCTTACTCGCAAGAGCATAGCACCACCTTGTGGCCATGTAAATGAGAATGTTCTAAAGAAGCTGACTACTTCCCAGAGTAAAGGCAGACATAGAAATATTGTCACCTCAGTATATAGAATACCCAAAATTAAGTTTAAGGAGTTTAGGAAACAGATAGTAAAACTAGCACAGAAAAATGTAATAATTGCAAAAGTGAACTTCATCTCAACATCTGCTAGAACTCTCTGCAGCAAATAATGTCTTAGATTATATTGCTAATATTAAAACTAACAACCTACATTTATAGAGCACATTGAGCTTTTTTACTTTAAAAATTACTATTTATTTTAACATTTATTTTTTAAAATTGCATTACAAATTCTCTTCCTTCCTCTAGTCCATCCCCCATCCATTGAAAGGGCAATTGATATATCAATGATACATATGAAATCATGCAAAATATATTTCCATATTAGCCAGATTGCATCCAAAAGAAAAAAAGAAAAATACAGTGAAAAAATTATACTTAAATTTTTATTCAGAATTCATCCATTCTCTTTATAAAAGTAGATAGCATTTTTCATAAGTAAAATTCATATAGGTTCAATTATGTCTATGCAGATGATTCCCTTAGCCAAAATGTGCTTCAAGGTTAAGTTCTGGGCCTTCTTCTCTCCTCTCTACATCCTCTCTCCTGGTGATCTCCTCACTTTCAGAATTGTATTGAATCATTATATTGATCAAAATAGCTAAGTCTTTCACAGCTCATTATCCTTACAGTATTGCTGTTACTGCATACAGTGTTCTCCTGGGTTCTGCTCACTTTACTCTGCATTGGTTCATATAAGTCTTCCCAGGTTTTTCTGAAAATCCTACTTACTATTTCTTTTGGCACAATAGTATTCCATCACAATCATATACCATAAGTTGTTCAGCCATTCCCCAATGGGTGGGCATCCCCTCAGTTTTCAATTCTTTGACATCACAAAAAGAGCTGCTATAAATGTTTTTGTACAAATAGGTCCTTTTCCCTTTTCTTTGATCTGTTTGGGATCCAGATGTACTGGTCCTGTTGCTGGGCTAAAGGGCATGTGCAGTTTTATGGCCCTTTGGGCATAGTTCCAAATTATTCTCCAGAATGGTTGGGCCAGCTCACAAAACCACCAACAGTGTATTAGTATCCCTACTTTTCCACATTCCCTCCACAATCAATAATGATTTAGAGCATTTTTATATGACTATAGATAACTGATTTCTTCTTCAGAAAACTGCCTGTTCATATCCTTTGACCATTTATCAGTTGAGAATAGCTTTTCTTTTAAATTTTGGCTCCCTTCTTTATATGTTTGAGAAATGAGACTTCATCAGAGAAACTTACAGTAAAAATTTTCCCCCAGCTTCCTGCTTTCTTTCTAATTTTGGCTGCACTGATTCTGTTTGTACAGAAACTTTTAAATTTCATGTAATTAAAATCATGTTTTACTTCCTGTGATCCCCTCTGTCTCTTGTTTGGTCATAAACCTTCACTTGTCCATAGATCTGATTTTCCATGCTCCTCTAATTTGCTTATATCACCCTTTCTGTCTAAATCTTGCACCTTATCTTGGTATACACAGTATGAGATATTGGTCTATGCCCAATTTCTGCCAAACTGCTTTCCAGTTTTCCCAGAAATTTTGGTAAATACTGAGTTCTTACTGAAAAGCTTGGATCTTTGGGTTTATCAAACACTAGATTACTATAGTCATTTACTACTGTGTAGTAGAGAACTTTGAGTTTTACAAAATAAGGGAAACTTCTCTTCTGGACCTGATTCACACAGACCAGGAGGAAGTGCTTATAACTGGGGTGGGAATGATGGGAACCCTGGAGGAAAGTAATCATGCCATCTTAGAATTTGTGAGGGAAGAGAGGCATGCCAGGCATAATGGATATGAACTCTAGATTTGTGAGAAGCAGACTTCAGAGGGTTCTGAGAGAGAATGGGTTAAGATCCCATAGACAAAAAGCCTACATGGGGAATTCAGCAGAAAGGGATGGTAAACTCTCAAGAATGAAATTCTGAGGATACAAAGAAAACAATTCCAGTGATGATGAGAAAAGTGCCTTGTCTTAAGAGACTGATGTAGATACACAGGGAAATTACCCAATCAGAATTTTTTTTTAAAAAAGGTACAAAAGATAGAAGTAAGGGCAGGTAATGGAAGATGAATAGAAAAGCACAACACATTCCTGTAAGAACATCAAAACATAGGAGGACCAAAACATAGAATGAACTAAGGCTGGCATGGAATGCTAAGGACATTTGTTTGTTGCTACATTGAGGAAAAGAAGATTAAAGAAAAATGGGACAACAAATGATGAGGACAGAAGTTGAAACTCCTAGGCTTAGCTTTGTTTCTATTTTCTCTGTGAAGGAGAAAGATCTCTGGATATGACTCAACAGAAAATAAATAGCTAATGTAGAGTTGATTCACAGAATCATCAGGGAGATGAGTGAATAACTAGCTGCCCTTGATGAAATCAAGTCTCCAGGTCCAGAAGAGTAAAACAAATGTAGGACATTAGGACCTTCGGCAGGTACCTAAAAACTGGCAGAGAGGATTATGTAATGCTCAGATCGACCTAGCCTGCCCCAACCTCTGCGCGGACCTCCAATCTCACATCTCCAACTACCTTTCCGACATCTTGAACTGGATGTCTTAAACTCAATATGTCCCGAACAGAACTCTTTAGCTTTCCCTCCCCTAAACTCTTTCCTGCACTTACCTCCCTATTACTGTAGAGGGCAGCACCATTCTCCCAATTCTTCAGGCTCACAACTTAGGAGTCATCCTGGATTCCTCACCATCTCTCAACGCCATATCCAACCTGTTGCCAAGGACTGTTAATTTCACCTTTGCAACGTCTCTCAAAGAAGCTCACTCCTCTTCTCTGACATTGACACCAATCTAGATCCAGCTCTCATCACCTTCCACCTGAACTACTGCAATATTCTGCAGGTGGGTCTACCTGCCTTAAGTCTCTCCCCACACCAATCCATTTTCCATTCAGCCACTAAAGTGATTTTCCTAAAAACCAAGTCCAGTCATGTCAATAAACCCCAGTGGTTTCCTATTTGCTTCCATAATCAAATAAAAAATTCTCTGTTTGGTCTTTAAAGCCCTTCATAATCCTGCCCCCTCTCACCTTTCTAGTCTTCTATGCCCCCACACTGACTCTTTGATCCAATGACCCGGATCTCCTGGATGCTTTGAGAGTAAAACTGTCCCTCATGCCTGCAGCATGCTCCTACCTCAACTCTGACTACTGACCTCCCTGGCTTCTTTTAACTCCCAACTAAAATCCTATCTTCTACAGGAAGCCTTCCCCAACCCCTCTTAATTCAGTGCCTTCCCTCTGTTAATTATTTCCTATTTCTCCTGTATATAGCCTGCTTTATATATATTTGTTTGCGTGTTGTCTTCTCCATTAGATTGAAAGTTCTTTGAGGGTAGGGACTGTCTTTTGCCTCTTTTTGTATCCCCAGTGCTTAGAACAGTGCTGGGCATATAGTAGGCGCTTAATAAATGTTGATTGATTGATTGATTGCAAAGTAAAAAATGTATCTGCAGTCAGAGGAATTGCTGTTTGCTACAAGTATGATGTTGGGCAAGTCATAATTTCTTTAGCCTTCAGTTTCCTTATCTGGGATTCAATCAAAACACCTATAAGGTCCCTTTCTAGGTTCAAATCCATGATCCTAAGGTTTCTGAGTCAATGACCATTGAAAGATCATGGCAAATGAGAGAAGTCCTAGAGATAAATGGAGTGCTGGACACCACCTTTCCAGAAGGGCATTGATAAGCTGCAAAATGTTCAGAGAAAGGCAACCTGTAATTAGGGTGAAATGCCTATGATTCATAGTATATGAGGATCTGTTGACAGAAGCTGTTTAGCTTGTAAAAGAGAAGACAAGAATACAAGTATTTGAAAGGCTAACACCTGGGAAAAGGATTAAGTGCTAGACTGGTGAGCCACTTGGTCAATAAGCATTTCTTAAGCACTTACTCTGTGCCAGGCACTGAACTAAGGCTCTAATCCATGCTACTGGCTGAGCTGAGGCTGCCATATTCATTGAACTTGGGAGTACTGAGCTGCCAGAGGGCTAAAGCAACGGGGCTAAAGTCAAACAAGTTTCCAAACTAAGTCTGCCACATTATATGGGGGTCTAACCGGTCCAGGTCAGAAATGGAGCAAAGCTTCAGGTCAAAGCTTCCAAGTGATCACTACCGGTTCAGGCTTGTTAATTGCAAGAACAGGAAAATCTAGTCTCAAAAAAAAAAAAAGATTAGGTTTCTTGTGTATGGGCCCCAAAGAATAGATCTATTTAGCAATAAGTGGAAGTTGCAGAGACAAATTTGGGTTTGGAAAAAAAAGTTCTTCATAAATCAGAACTATGCCCAGGTGGAATGCCATAAGAGCCAGTTAGCTCTGCTTCATCACCTGCCTGTCCAAATTCCCATTTTTTAAGCAAAAGCCGGATAACCTTCCAGCAGGTATGCTGGAGGGATTTTTTTGCTCGAATGTGGATCAGTTTAGATGGTCTCTGAGGTCCCTTTCAGCTCCAAGACTCTAGAAAGTTTCTCCCCTCACTTACAGAAACAAAAATTTAGTTACTTTGTGGCATTCCATATAAGTGATCCCATTCTCCAATATTCCTAGGACACTTTAAGTGGATCTGCACCTCGCTCTTCTGTCTAATTTGAATTCAGGGTGAAATCAAGGGGTGCTCTCAAAAATAACATCTTAGGACCATAGATCAGAAAGGGATCTATTCAACCTCCTTGTTTTAGAGATGAGGTTATTGACATTAACGGATTTGCTTAGGGTCACAAAGGAAGATCAGGGGCAGAATTTGAACCCTGGACCCTTGATTTCCAAAGCCTGTATCCCCTACCCCCCCCCCACCGGCTTCTCTACAGGCTTCCTTCTCTAGGGGAGTTGACCCACAGACAACAGGCTACTTTTAAGAGGGAGGGGGAGAAGGGAGAGGAGAGCTTGGCTTGGAGCCAGCAAGACCTGGGTCTGATTCCTTCTCGGCCACTCAGGGTTCGTGCGACCTTGGGCAAGTACCTTAACCTCTCTGAGCCTCAGTTTCCCCATCTGTAAAATGAAGAAAATCACGGGGGTCTGAGGCTCCAGTGAGACACAAGTAAAACTCTCAGGAAGCCTGAAGCCACAGGATCTACGTCAGTCCTGGGCCTCAGTTTCCCTCTGTGAATACGAAGGTCCTTTCAGTTTGGGAGGAAGTTAGGTAGAGAGTGACCTACGAACACTTTCCCAGGCCAGGAAGAACCTGGACTAAGACAAACCCAAAGCATGGGGATTGGAGGTGCGCGCGCAGGCGCAGCTGCCGGGGGGGGAGCGGTGAGGCGAGGAAGGAGGCGGAGCTGAGCCCGGGACCGCCCAGGGAGCGTGCTCCTCCCCCCGGCCCCGCCTCCCCAAGCTCTAGGACAGTCAGCCTTGCGAGGAGCGGAATGAAAAGGGAAAAGTGGAGCTGGAACCGGAAAGAATCCTCTGAAGAGAATGACGGAAAGAACTCCGCCCCGCCCCCTCGCTTTAGCAGCCAGATAAGGCCCCGCTCTGCCCTTCGGCCCCGCCCAGCTCTTCGGCCCCACCTCCCGCCCCAGATAGCTCCGCCCCCAAATGCTCCCCGCCCCAGGGGCGACAGACAATCGGCCAATTGGGCTGCGAGGAACCCCGCTACGCCCCCATCTTGGTTCTTATTGGCCTCTTCGAGACTGCCCCGTCTCGGATTGGCTGCGTTCTCGGGTCAGCCTGTGGAAAGACCGACTGGCCCGAGGGCGTCGGGGCTTTGGGGGTCTAGGGGTCGGTTGGGATTGCTCGGAAGCCTCAGCTCTGGGGACATGGGGACACTCCTGGGGGCGCTGCTTGTGGCGGAGAGAAAACAATGGCGACATCTGCCTAGCCTGCTGCTGCCGGGGTTCGTGGGGAGACTGAGGCCCGGGGGGGGGAAGGGAGGGGAGGGGGGTGTGCTTTGGGGGGATGCACGTGCAAGGGGTGTGTGCGCGCGTGCCTGTGTGGGAGGAGTGTGCGTGGGTTGCAAGAGGTGTGGGGTGTGAGCAAAGAGTGTGTGTGTGAGGTGTGGCGTGTGAGCAAGGGCGTGTGTGTAAGAGGTAGGGGGTGTGAACAGGGTGTGTGCAAGAGGCATGAAGTGAGCAAGGGGTGTATGTGAGAGGCGTGAAGTGTGAGCAAGGGGTGTGTGTGTAAAAGGGGTAGGGGTGTGAACAGGGTGTGTGCAAAAGGCGTGAAGTGTGTAAGGAGTGAGCAAGGGGTGTGTGTGAGAAAGGGGGTGTGTGTAAGAGGTATGGGGTGTGAACAAGGGGTGGTGTGTGTGCGCAAGATGTGTATGGCTGTGTGTCTGTCTGATCACCAAATGGGCCTTTTCTAAGTCCTTGTTCTCCTTGACCTCTCCGCAGCCTCTGACACAGCTGGTCGCCCTCTTCTTGATACTCGCTTCTCTCTGGGTTTTCAGGGCACCTCCCTCCCCCTCCTGTCCCTCTTCCTACCTCTCTGACCATCCCTGTGTCTCCTTTGATGGACCCCCCCTCAGATCACACCCTCTAACTATAGGTGTCCTTCAGGCCTCTGAGCTGGGCCTTCTTCTCTTCTCCCTCTGTGCTTCACTTTGTGATCTCATCAGCTGCCAAGGATTTAATAACCGTCTCTATGCTGATGACTCTCAAGGCAACCTATCCTGCCCCAACCTCCGCTGACCTCGTCTTGCAGCTCCATCTGCCTGTTGACTATCTTGACCTGGGTGTCCAGTAGACATCTTAAACGCAATATGTCCAAAACTGAACTCATGATCTTTCTCCCCAGATTCTCCCCACTTCCCAACACCATCTTCCCAGGCTTGCAATCTAGGTGTCAATTTCGGCTCCTGTTGCTCAACTCCCCCCCCCCCCATGCATTTGGTTGCGAAGTTCTGTTGATACTACCTTCATCATATCCCTTGCATATGCCTCTGACACTGCCGCCATCCTGGTGTGGGCCCTCATTACCTCACACCTGGTGGGTCTGCCTGCCTCAGACACCAGTGATTTTTCTAAAGTGAAGGTCTAGGGGAGAAGTAACTGAGGGGGGCTGAGGAGGATTGGTATCAAAGCTGAATCCATCTCCATGATAATGAGATTTCAGGTGATTAGTTTATCAGGAGCTGATGTGTAACTAGATAGAACATTTATTCAGTGTTTATTATGTACCAGTCACTATTTTTGGTATATAAATGCAAACATAACAGCTCCTGCCCTTAGGGAGCTTCCATTCTAAAAGGGGAGCTAGAAGGGGAAGAGGAGGTCTGGGCTCATTGACCTGGCTCAGGAATGGCTGCCGAGGGACCTGGTGTCCTGGATCTGAGGGGAAACACACTCATTAAATCCCAGGCTGCTTCCAGTGTCAAAGTCCAGGTTTGGTGTGGAGGGAGGGACGCCTAGTCAATCTCCGTCCCTCCACTTCCTCAGAGTGGCTTGAAGTGGTCCAGCCATGTGTCTACAGGACAGTCACAGCAGCCTCCTGACTGATCTTTCTACATTGTCACCTCTGCCTCTGTATATCCTGGCACTGAATGTGAAAAAAATGATTCCGCTGAAGTACAGATCTGACCATGCTGCGCCTCTGCTCTAGATGCTGCAGTGGCTCCCTGTAATTTCGAGGACCTGCCTATTATCGTCTGCCTAGCTTTGGAAGCCCAGCTAACCTAACTCCTGCCTCCCATAGGTTATTCTCCATCCTGCACTCTACTGTCCAGTTGGGCTAGCTTTGCTGTTCCCCACGTGTCCTGTCTGTGGACAGGCTGCCCCCTTTGCCTGTAATGTAGCCTCTCTGCACCTCTTTAGTTATTTGTTCTCTTCGAGGGCCACTTTGAGGTCTTTTTTCTTTCTTTTTTTTGGTCTTGATTTCTTCTTGTATACTCGCCTCATCCTCAAGCCTAGCACTCAGTAGGCATGTATTTGGTGGTTTTGGAGTGTTGCTCAGTCAATAAGCATTTACTAAGCATTGATTGTGTGCCAGGCGCTTTCTATGTGTGGTTTATGTCTCATGTTTATCAGTGTGTAGTATATGTAGTGCTATGGGGGTGGTAAAGTATGAGTTTTTGTTTTGAGGAGGAGACATAGTTCTGAGCTTGATGTGGGAGGAAAAAGACACACAGTGGTACTTTTTAGATGATCCTGCAGCCCTAGCTCCATGAGAGAAATCTCATCCTTCCAGGAGGTATTTTCCATGCACACATACACACACACACACACACACACACACACACACACACACACAGAGCTGCCTCAGTTTCCCTATTTAGGAAAATCCAATTTGAGAGTGTGACTGTAATTTTTGAAGGTGTCAGTGCCCACTGCAACAGGAAGACCCTCCAGGATTATACCTCGATGTTGTTGTTTAGTTGAGTAGTCATGCCTAACTCTTTCTTGGCAAAGATACTGGAATAGTTTTGCCATTTCCTTCTCCAGATCATTTTACAGAGGAAGTAACTGAGGCCAACAGGGTTAAGTGACTTGCCCAGGGTTATGCAGCTAGTAAGAGTCTGAGGCTGGATTTGAACTCAGGTCTTCCTGACTCCAGGGCCAGCACTCTATCCGCTGTACCACCTAGCTGCCCTACCTCAATGTTCATGTAACCAAAGCCCTGGTCTCTGCTTCCTGAAGTGTGGGAGTCAGTGATGAAACTTGAAAGGAGAAATTGTATTGTGTTTCTCATAGTCAGTGAGTTGTACTTTTGTCTCTAGTGATCAGCAACGCTGGGGTTGCCACATTTTCCTTTTTGGGTTCTAGCTCTCTAGAGCATGGCTTCTCCAGGCCTTTATGCAGACCCTCCTAGTTCCCGAGCCCAGTACCCATGGCTCCCAGCATTTACCTTTCCTTTCTCTTTCTAGGCTTTACAAAATCGCGTGGCTTTTCCTCCTTCTTCTCGTAGCATCTCAGAAGTTTTTAGGGCCCGGAAGATGGAAGGAAGAAGTGTGGGCAAAAGGACCAGAAGGGGGAGGAGGCAGAAGCTCACCCAGTTCCGAATCACCTTGTGTGTCACTGCCAGGATCAAGCAGGGGGTGAGGGTGAGGGCTGCCAGTTTGACTCGCATCCTTTCAGGTACAAGGAGAGACGGAGACAGAATGGGTGATGGAGAGAGACAGCAGAAAGGGGAAGGAGAGGAGAGATGCAAAGAGAGACAGCAGAAAGGGGAAGGAGAGGAGAGATGCAAAGAGAGACAGCAGAAAAGAGAGGGCAAGGAGAGAGAGAGCGTTTGGGAAGTGCTGATTGTGTGCCAGGCGGCGCTGTTTGCAGTGCCCAACCAAGAGTCACAGGGTTTCCAGATGGTTTTGTTCTTCAACCGTCAGAGCCGTATAACATAGAAGCCCAGAGTTTAGGGCGTGGCAATCAATAATATGCACGTACGCCTAACGGAGGGCAGCCCTCTCTGAAAGGAAAGTAGGGGCACATTTCTGGTTCCAGCGGTTGGTCCCTTCCCCCCTCAATTTACCTTGCATCGCCTCTGTACCTATTTATGTCCGTGTTGTCTCTCTCGTTAGAATGGAAGCTCCCCGAGGGCGGAGACCGTTTTGTTGTCCTTTCTCTCTCAGTGGCTTAGTCCTGTACCCAGGCATGCACTTAATAAATGCTTATTGGTTGTTGGTCGGTTGGTTGGTTGGAGTACAGGTGGCTCCTCTGCACCAAAAGGCCCCATTGGCCTACTATTATGGTGCTTAAAATCCCGTGGTCAGTTATTTCCTTCTTTAAAGCACTGGGTGTAGAAGGCCCTTTTAAAGTGTGAATCCAGTATTCATTGAATTAGATGTCTAAAGGTACAAAAGATGTCAGAGATTATCTAGCCTACTCCCTTCATTTTGTAAGTGAGGAAACTGAGGTTCAGAAAAGTCAAATGACTTGTCCAAGGTCATATAGGATGTAAGCGGCAGAGCTGGGGTTAAAATCTAGGTTCTGGCTCCATATTCTGTGCTTGAAGAGGAACAGATCAGCCTCAGGTCATACAGTTAGAACTTAGAGATCTAGTTCAAGAAAACCCAGAAAGATGGATGTAGGGACTGATTCAAGGTCACACATATTACTGTGATAATAATTAGTAGACTAATCATAATTACTAGCACTTATATAGTATTTCAGTGCTTGCACAGTGCTTTATACTTTGTTATATCATTTGATCCCCACAACAACCCTGGCAGGTAGGGTGCTATTATTACCCTCATTTTTCAGATGAGGACACTAAGGCTGGAAGAAGCTAGGTGACTTGCCCAGGGTCACGGAGCTGAGTACATTATCATGGGCTTATTTACCCAATATTCATATTTAAGAGCTGGTTTCTGAAGGACCAGGATACAGGAAAGATCCTTTAGAAGGCTGGGAGCTCCGAACATGGATGGTACCCAGAGAAGGCAGTCCAACACGGGCAGTTACAGGCTGCCAAGGGATGGCAGGCAGGTAGGCTGGAACTCTGGGAATGGCAGCAAAGAAAAAGAGAAACTGAAATACAAGAGGATGGCAGGCATTTCTGAGAAAGTCACAACATGGTGTGCAATATGTTAGCAAGTGGTATTTTTGAAGCCAAACTTAGGAGGTAAAAAACAACCTAATAATTCATATAGTAAAAGTTTTAATGTTACCTGAGTGTCTATGTTCTTGTATTTCAAAGAAAAGCCCACCCTCTTATTTACATAATTTGTTGGCCTTTATCTAAATAAGCCTCTTGAGGGCTTAGGACTGTGTCTTGTTCATCTTGGTTTCTCCTAGCCCCCAGCATGGTACAGCACCGGGTCTTGCATCGAGCAGACATTCAGGAGACACTTCTCAAATTGAACGGAAGTTGAAGTAGTTTTGAGCAGCATAATAGACTTTAAAGAGGTCATTGAAAAGATTTCCTGATTTAGTAATAACAATAAAAATATGTTCACTTGAAAAAGGAAATGGTGTCTAAGGTGCCAGGAAGCAAGTTGGGGGGCCCAGAGGAGGAGACACAGGGCATAGGAGACCATAAAAGATCAATTCCACCTACTTCACAGTTTTGCCAAGAACCGTTGTCTGCCAGACGCCCTGAGGGATTGGTAGGCCCAGTTACAACCAACTCAGACCATTTCTCCCATGCTGTCCAAGTGACTTAATGGTGCGAGCCTCAGACTGAGATTCAGGAAACTGGATTCTAATTTGTGACCATGGGCAAGTTATTTCAACTCAGTCTTGTTCATTTATCATTTATCGAGGTTGTCTCAACTCTAAAATGAGAGGGATCATAAAATCACAGAGCCTTAGAAATAGGAGGCACCTTGGAGGGCCCAATAGTTCCTCAAGAACATGTTCGAAAGATGGTCTGTCCAGATGTTAAGACTAGATCCCTGATCAGATCTGGTCTATGGGTTTGTTTCTTCTTTACCAAAAGCATTAACAACTGGGCAGATCAGGGAAAGCCAGGAAGGAGGAGAACCCCTGAGCTCAGCCTTGAAGAGGAGGATTCTGAGAGGCAGAAGAGAGAAGGGTGGGCATTCTGGGCATGGAGAGTGACTTAGGCAAATGTACAGAGGCTGGAATTTAGTAGAGTTTATAAAGGCAAGTTGTTTGAAATAAAGACTAGAGGAGTAGGTGGGTGACAGATTGTAGGGGGTCATAATGCCCTCAGGCTAATTTATGTTTTATCTTAGAGGTAAATAGAGGTCCACTCAAAGAGAGTGGTATGGTCAGACCTGTTCCTTAAGGAGATTATTCAGGCAGCTGGTTGGGAAATGGGTGTGAGAGAAGGGAGGGACTAAAAAGCAGGTTGGCCAAAGAGGAAGCCATTCCAGTATTCTTAGATGAAAAGTGACAAGGGCCTGAACTTAAAGGGGTAGCTAGCTGTATGAATGTAGAGAAGGGATCAGACATGAGAAACACTTCAGAGGTAGAACTGACAAATGGTGGCAACCAACTGGATGCAAGTAGTAGAAGAAAGAGGAAAGGGATGCCTCTTCTCTGAGTATAGTTATCAGTGACTGGGAAGAGGACAGCACCCTCCACAGAAATCATGAAGTGTAGAGGAGACTGAGTTTAGGGGGAAAGCTAGTGAGTCTCTTTTGTACATGTTGAGTCTCAGATGTCCCTACAACATGTAGGCCGCTGTAATCCGTCAGGTAGCTGATGATGTGGGATTGGTGCTCAGGAGAGAGACTAGAGTTGGATTATAGACTTGGGAACCATCTGCACAGACATAATCGGACCCAAGGGAATTGATGAGATCACCAGGAGGGAGGGGGTAGAGAGAAAAGAATAAGTGCAAGAGTCCAAGGGGGAGGTATCAGCTTTGATCGGGAGAAGAGCCCGGAAGCACACCTGGGCTAAGGAGTCGAGGCCGAATGATGATCTAGCGAGGAACGTTGAGAAGGAGCGGTCACACAAGGAGGATGAACCAGGAGAGTGGCACCCCATGAGCTACAGTGTAGTGGCCAAGAGGAAAGACTGGTCAACGTGGAGCAGACAAAGGCAATAAGGACTGAGAGAAAGGCATTAGATTAGCAATTAATTGACTGTTGGTAACCTTGGAGAGAGCAGTTTCAATGGAGTGGTAGCCTCAGAAGTTGGAAGGAGCGGGTAGCATCAGGAGGAAACAACTCTTTCAAAGAGCTTGGCAGTGAAAGGGAGGAGAGGTATTAAATGGTAACTTGAGGGAATGTTAGCAAGAGGAAACAAAGAATTTGTTGGGGGGTTTTTAAGGGTGTCAGATATTTAGGCCTACTTGTGGACAAGAAGGAAGTAGCCAACAGAAAGAGGGAGCTTGAAAGTGAGAGAAGGAACATGAGATTTCTGAATGAGGAGATCTTCTGAAAGAGATGTCAAGATATAGATTTGCCTCTCAGGGGTCCAAGGAGAGATATTGGCCACCTCTTCCTCAGGTCTGGAGCAGAGGGAGCTGAGGGCATGGAGGAGCTCGTGGCAAATGGCCTCAGTTTTCTCAAATTAAATAGACCAGGTCGGCTGTTGAAGGGCAGGATTTGAAACCAGATGTTCCTGACTCTAAAACCAGGACACTCCTTTATGCAGTGTCTCCCCTGTACTGATTTAATATATACAAGCATCCTAAGGTTTTACCTGGGATGGAAGGGACCTTGGCAATCATTTAGCCTAATCTCCTCTTTTTGTGCATGGGCAAACTGAGACACAGAGTGCTGGAAAGACTTACCCAGAATCCAGTTAGGGGCCAGTAGCCCAGTCTGGCTCCAGGAGTAGTAGTCAGAAACCTTAAACTTGAAAGGAATTTTACAGATGCCCAAAATGAGACTTCCCCCAAATTACATAGTAAGTTAGTTGCAGAGTTGGAACTAGGCCCTGGACTTCCTGATCTTCAGTGTCACACGTTTTCCGCCATAGCGTTATGCATTTTAGTGGCTAAAGGTTAATGGAGATCGCATCCAAACTTTGAGGACTTATGGGGTGAGGGACAGATAAAAGGGTCAGTGTGACATTGAAAAGAACCTTTCTCAATGAACAATGACTTGCTTTTCTCTTTAGTCATTCTGTTCCTTCTTTCATTATAATGCCATTTGGATTTCTGTTATAGGAGATGGATTTGGAGACAAAGAACTGTGAGATATTCATCAACTGGTACTAAAATTTTTTTTATAATTTAATATTTCTTAATGGAAATATTTTAAAGAGTATTCTTTTAATCTGTTACATAAAAGAAAAAGTTTCATGAGCAATTTAGTGATTTTGTGATACTTTTCCTATTATTTTGATGTTTCCTTTGAATTTTTAGCTCTTACATCAAAGTTCTTTTGATACAAAGAATCCAAAATACAAATGGGTTTTAATGGAACACATGTATGTGACTGATTTTGATCTATCAATTGAAATGGTCTCTCCCTAGCTTTTAGAATATCTAATATGAGGAAAAATAATGATAATCACCTTTTAAATGTTTATTAAGAAATTCTTTGTCACAAATTGAATTTCCACTTTGTATTTTTTGTAGAACTTTTTTTTAATTGTCAAGATAGTTAAAGAACATCAAATGTGTTTAATGATGGCTGGAGATTTTCTTCACATGTAAATGCACTGGAACTCCATTTTAAGTACTGGTGTCTGGGTACAAAGACACCATCCACATCTAATGCCAGAGATATACCCATGGTGTATCAGTAATTGGGTGAGCAAGTTAATTTGACCCTCGGTTTTACAAAATCCAAGGGAAAGCAGAACACTTCCCAGTGGGGTACATAAACCTCATTTCCCATTTTTAAGTTTAAGAACCCTTAGTAATTTCATTGTTCTGCTCATGCTGGTTAACTGTGGGAACAAATAAGCTCATCAGAATTGGTCAAGACCATGATTTTGGACTTTGAAATGTTTAAGACACATCTTTTAGGTTGCTACTTGCTCGTCACTCCAGTTCTCGGTCCGAGCTTCTCTTGTGTGTTAAACAGGAAGAAGTAACATCAACAAAGTCCTTATTGCGAATAGAGGAGAAATTGCTTGCAGAGTGATACGGACAGCCAGGAAAATGGGCGTACAGTCAGTGGCTGTGTACAGTGAGGCCGACCGGAACGCCATGCACGTGGAGATGGTGTGTTATCGGACACGCTAGAAGCTTGCTCCCTTCGCCGGCTTACTTTTTGCCTCTGTCTGTTTCTGGCCCAGCCCAGGGGAGGTTTGTGGTAGTGATTTGTCCCAGTAATGATGATCATGCCTTGCGTTTGGTTAGAGCCTTACGGCTTTCACCAGCCTTGTCTCATTTGATTTGATCCTTGAGATAATCCTGTGAACTAGATCTTCTCCCCATTCTACAGAGGAGGAGCTTGAAGCAGAGTGATGTATTTGAGATCACGCAGCTAGTAAACAAATTTACAAGTGATGGATTAGAGCTTGGAGATTCTGAAAAAGATCACTTTACACCCCCTCATTTTACAGAGGGGAAGTTGAAGCCGGTGGAAGTAGAATCAGCCAACAAGTGTCTGTGAAGCGCAGCTCTGCTTGACCCTGGGGGTACAAAATGCAACAGTGCCTGCCCTGTAGGAGCCTCCATGTTACTGGGGAACCCCCATGCACAGAGCTATCCAGATTCCTCCACAGATACCCCACTCCATTGCCTCTTGCTGAGCCAGAGCGCTCACCCATTCCTGCCTGGCCTGCAGGCAGAAGCCACACAGCTCTGAGTAGGAGACACACCTCTTGGTGTCCCTCCTCCTCTAAGGAAGTTTCCTCACTAGAAAGCTGATGCCTTCTTTTTGGCCACAGTGATGCTTTATGCCCCAGGGTGGGTTGGGAGCACCAACCCCAAGGAAACTCCCTATCTTTCAATTCTGACTTGAAGTCCAAGTTGGGGAAATGTATATTAAACAACCACCCAAGTGGCACTTGGAAAAGTGGCAACTGCAAAAAGCAGCTTGGCAGGGTGGGAAGAGGTCAAGATTTGGAGGCAGAAGATCTGGCTCCTAGTTCTGGTCTTTGCAAGGGCCCCGATGAGCTTAAGCTGAGCCTTAGTGTCCTTGTCGATGAAATCAGAGACTTGTACTAGCTCTTCTAAAATATCTTTCAGCTCTAAATCCTACAGTCTGATAATTGTATGACATTTGTGGAAATAGGCAGATGAAGCATATTCCATTGGCCCAGCTGCCTCACAGCAGAGTTACCTTTCCATGGAAAAAATCATTCAAGTGGCCAAGGTTTCAGCATCACAGGTAAGGTTCAAGAAGGTAGTTCATATGACAAAAGAATCTGTTGCAGAATTTTTTCTTTTCTTTTAATTTTGTATTTTATAGATAGCTTTTTATTTTTTCACCCATCTTTCTTTCCTGATATGCCTCTCCTCCCTCCCTTATTCAGCCAAGCCACCAAGAGAGAACAGAAAAGAAAGTAAAACTCACCAGCCTAACCAAACTAACTGACCAACATATCGACCCCGGCTGGAGGCGTCAGCAGTGTTCCACCCCCCTCCTCCCCACCTCTCAATAGAAGGGAGGAAGGTTCATTTTCTCCTCCCTTCTCTAGGGCCCAGCCTGGTCATTACATTCAGTGCAATGTTCAGAGTTGTTTCCACTGGACGCTGTTGTAGTTGGAGCATGTGGTGCTTTCCTGGCTCTTCTTCCTTCACTCTGCGTCAGCGTAGAACTCTGTTCTGAGTTGGTTTCTCTCTGCACGTAGACTTAGTCTTGGATCTCTTACCATTCACTGGATGGTTTCACTTTGATACCCTTCTGTCATCTGAGGTGAACTGCATCCATCATAATATTTTCCTGCACTCTTCCAGCTATTCTAGGACCTAAGTTCCCCTCCCTAATCTCAATCAATGGCGTCACCTTGACCCTGCTCATACAGTCTGGAATCCTCTGAATTATATTTGACTCTTCCCTCAGAGCCCATGAGGCGTTAAAACTAGTTGGTTCTCCCTGTAAAATGTCTTTAAGCATATTTGTCCTTTTCTTTCCATTCCTGATTCCCAAACCCATAACCTCAGACTTTATTAAGAACCACAGCATTTTAGCAAATGTCCTTTTCCCAGAAGCATCACCAGGATAAGGTGACCAGAGCTAGCTTCCTCACTGGCCCCAGGCCTCAGCTGTTTCAGATGCCAGATTAGAAGGTGTTCAGAAATAAGTAGGAGAGAAGAAGTGGAACAATGAAGAGAGATGGCTTTTTTTCTAGGCGTTTAGCTTGGAGAAGGTAGAGAAATGTAAGAAAATGGTTTGAGGAAATGAAAGGGTCTAGGGAAGAGTGTGATTGGTGGGCTGGTTGGTTTTGAGATCTTGATCAATAGAGAAGGATTGAAGATTAGAAGTGGGTGATTGATTACCTTGGAAAATTGCTGGAGAAGAAGAGTTTGCCTTCTTTGGGAAAAGACCACATATTCTTCCAAGACTGAAGCAAAGGAAGAATGGAGAAGGATGGTAAAGGGGCTTATGTATAGAACTGGAGAGAAGACAAAGCTCACGGTGGAGGTCTTCTATTTTCATTGGAAAGAAAAGGAAAAGATCCCTTGCTAAGAAGAGGAAGATGTTGGCCTGAGGAGAAAAGAGGAGGTTTGGAATAGAAGTTATGGGGAATATGGTAAAGTGTCTGCATAGGAAGAGCAGAAGGATTGCCTTGCAGCAGTGAGGGCCCAGCCAAGATTAGGTAACATACGTTTCTAGTGGATGCATATGCACTACTTTCATTATGCCTTCTTTCGGTGGTATTTGGTGGCACCAGAGTAGGAGCAGGGAAGGCAGATGGTTGGGACAGTTCAGGGTTGAGGTTTGGAAAGGGATTCGTGGTCATAGGAGACGAGGGCCACACAAAGCTGAACTGGCCTTCAAGAGTAGGGTCATTATGGAAAAGAGAAGAAAGTGAGACCAGAGCAAGGGTGATATTCTGAAAAATCAGGGAGAAGAGTGGAGTGATTGGAGTTCATTGTGAGGATAAAGATGTTCAGAAGAGAGACCAAGGGAGAGATGGAAGTGAAAAAGATCATGGTTTGAAAGAAAAATTTTAGAGTTCTAGGTCATATAGGTCGAACAGTTATGGGTGATGGTGAAGGATTGCCCCCAATGTGTGGCTGAGGTGTATTAAAGTACAGAAGATAGGGGATGGTGAGGCTGATGAACTGGAAATCCAGAGTGTGTAAGGGGACATCAGCATGTATATTGACATCTCCAGATATGAATAAATGAATGCATGAATGAAGCTGTCACTATATGTCAAGCACTGTGCTAAGCACAGGAGATACATGTAGGAAAAAAACAAGATAGTCCTTGCTCTAATGATCTAATTAGGGAAGACAGCTGATAGTAAGAAAGATAATAATGACGATAAGCATTTATATAGCGCTTAAAGGTCAGTAAAGTGCTTTATAAATACTATCTCATTTTATCCTCACTACAACCCTAAAAAGTCAGTACTATTATTACTCATGTATGTAAATATATTGGTTGGTTGGTTGTTGTCTGTTCTCAAAGAGGACCAAAATGACAGCTCTGTGTTGGACTCCAACACGGTGATGTCATGTATGTATGTAATATGTGATGTATGTATATGGTATCTCTAAAGTCTGAGTGCAGTTCAAACTTGAGTAAGCTGAAAGCAGCCAACTAGGTGGCACAGGGGATGGCTTGTAGGCGTAAAGCATGCTGAAACTTTGGGGACACCCAGTATAAAAGAGCAGTTGAACTTCAGGACAGAAGAAGAGGCCCAGACATCTGTGGGGCATATCAGCAGTTTGTATGACGTGCCTCAGGATCTAGAGGGCGGATGGCAAGGGTTTGTTTGGGTGGCAGGGAAGACTGTCACCCAAGTGCTGAACTCCTTGAGAAAGGAAGGCACATGAACTTCGGGGCCAGAAGGTCAGTGACTCACCTTAGACAAGATGCTATTGATGGCTGTAGTGAAGTGGGGAGGAAGAGAGAGAATTTGAGCTCACGGGCCAGTCTAGCCAGCCTTTACACCTAGGTAGAAAAACAGCTTAGGAGACATGATTTCAGGAGTTCTGGTAAAGCTTTATGTGCTTTCCCCCCCCCGCCCCCCCGCCACAACCCTCCCTTTTTTGCACCACGAGCCTGAAATTCCACCACTAGAAGCTTTGTGATTCTCATTTAAAGCCTGATCCCTTTGAGATGTAAGTGCCCTGATAGGTCTGAAGCTGGATGCCACTGTCCGTTATTTATACTTTAGTGAGTCTCAGGTTCTTTCCTTAGAGCTGGCTTTGAGAGGGAGAAATTACAAGGGATCACTGGGTATTTGGGTGGGAGATGAGTTCCCTGATAAGGAAGGAAAGATCACCTGGTCTCCGCTGCAGTGTTGCTGACTAGTGGTACAATGTAACACTCCTGGTCATCACAGTGTTACTTTTTGTTTCTCCTTTTTAGGCTATTCATCCAGGGTATGGTTTCCTCTCGGAAAACACCGAGTTTGCAGAGTTGTGTAAACAAGAGGGAATCATTTTCATAGGGCCCCCTTCATCTGCTATCAGAGATATGGGAATTAAGAGGTATGCCTTTATTTTTCTTCCTGACGCCCTCATACTAAGAGGAATAAGGGATGATGTATGTCATAGGAGATGGAGGGCCAAGCTTGGAGTCAGGAAGATTTAAGGTCTTTTGAACTTCGCCTTACTGCTGAAAGTGGGGAACGTAGGGAGGGGGGGCAGAATGTCTTACATGTCTTACGGGTATGTAAGATAACTATATTTGATGTGCGTCGGGGAATTTTCGTAGAGTTACAGGGATGTTCAAGCCTAATTTGTGAGTAGTTATTTCTTCTGATAAGACCATCACTTTTGCTCTAAACTTTCACTTGGGAAATGGACTTGAGGAAAGCTACATGAGGAAAGCCCACTTGTAATTGTCCATTTGTACTAATATTCAGTCATAGTGAAGACCTTTCTAATGTTTGATGACCTGTACAGTGTGAATTTCCTTAGAAAGCTTCATTATGTGATAAATGTTGAAAAAGATGTGGGAAAACTGAAACACTAATGCATTGTTAGTGGAGTTGTGAACTGATCCAACCATTCTGGATAGCAATTTGGAATGCTGCCCACAGGGCTATAAAACTGTGCATACCCTTTGATCCAGCAATATCACCAGGTCTATATCCCAAAGAGATTATAAAAAATGAAAAGACCCATGTGTACAAAAATATTTATAGCAGCTCTTTCCATGGTGGCAAAAGAATTGGAAATTGTAGGGATGCTCATCCATTGGACAATGGCTAAACAAGTTGTGGTATATATTTGTAATGGAATACTGTTGTACTATAAAAAATGACGATCAGGCAGACTTCAGAAAAACCTGGAAAGACTCACGTGAACTGATGCCAAGTGAAGTCAGCAGGAGCAGGAGAATGTTGTACACAGGAGCAGCGATATCGTGCAAAAATCAACTATGACAAACTTAGCTCTTCTCAGCAATCCAGTGATCCAAGACAACTCCAAAAGATTCACAATAGAAAATACTGTCCACATCCAGAGAAAGACCTATGGAGTCTGAATGTAGATCAAAGCGTATTATTTTCAGGTTTTTTTGGTTTTTGTTTTTTCTTTGTTGTGGTTTTTCCCTTTTGTTTTGATTCTTCTTTCACAACATGACTAATGTGGAAATGTGTTTAATATGATTATACACGTATAGCCTATATCAGATTGCTTGCTGCCCTGGGAAGGGGGGAGAGAAAGGAGGAAGGAAGAAAAATTTGGAACTCAAACTTACAAAAATAAATGTTGAAAACTATCTTTATATGTAATTGGAAAAAATAAAATACTGTTAAGTGCGGGGAAAAAGAAAGCTTCATTATGTTTTACAGTCTATAGTGTATCAAAATAAGCAGTTGTATGAAGGGATTCGTGGTGGTCTCTGAACTCCTTTTATTCCCCTTTAAAGCACATCCAAAACAATCATGTCTGCTGCTGGGGTTCCTGTTATTGAAGGTTACCATGGGGAAGATCAATCAGATCAGTGCCTAAAGGAACACGCTGGAAGAATTGGTTACCCAGTCATGATTAAAGCAATTCGTGGTGGAGGTGGAAAAGTAAGAGACAGCCTGTTTGTAGGTTTCATTGGGAAGTTGCCTCATTTATTTGTTGTGATGTCACCATTGTAACGACCTTGTTTCCTGTCTTAGGGCATGAGGATAGCTAGATCAGAAGAAGAGTTTCAAGAACAGTTAGAATCAGCGAGGAGAGAAGCCAAGAAGTCTTTCAATGATGATGCCATGCTGCTAGAGAAGTTTGTGGACACCCCAAGGTAAGATAGGTTTTTCTAATGCTATATAATGTGGATTGAGGGCCTACAAGAACATGTTTGAGTCAAGTGTGCATGACAGGTCAGATCCCATTGATAGTGGATTTTTTGAGTGCCTTTGTGGTTTGGAATAGCCTTTGGTCAGATATTGATTAATTGGCTTGGATCTACTAAGGTATTTGTTGTACCTGTGTTTCTTGTAAGGAAATGTCAAATTGACCAGGTAGAAGAATGATTGAGTTTGGCAAGTGATGTAGTAGGAAAAATAATTAACAAAATAGGTCATCTGGCTTTAGATAATCAGGGCATATGCCAACTCATGTGGAGAAGGAGTTATTAAGGAAGGTTGTGAAGGCCCCTCTCCTGGAAACAGCCATCTATCCCTATTAGCACAGCCTCTGAATGAGAATAAAAGAAATCAGGCTTCCAAGGAAGAATTCTACTGGAGATGGGCAGGGCGCTTGTTTGGGCAATGGACTGATGGCCCTGAGCAGACTGCCAGGTGGTGCATGGTATTAGTCATTTCATATATGGACATCACCTGCCCTGAGAGAGGCTGTGCGTTCCTGCAGGGCAAAGACTCTGCTTTTTCCCTTTCTGCAATAACTTCATTGTTACTTCTTTATATTCAGTACCATGCTTGACCTATGAGGAGTGAGTCATTTATCATGAGATGAGGTATTACTTTGATGTGGGTTACTGTAAGGACATGGGCATATTTTCTGAATTGGTAATGTAGTTTTAACAAATTAGTACTTTTGAGGCTTTCTGACAAACTAGATTAACCATTTGTCTTTAATAATTGGATTCAGCCCTGTTTGAAGGTAGTCATGGCAGCCCTAACCCTATACTCTGTGTGTGTGTGTGTGTGTGTGTGTGTGTGTGTGTGTGTGTGTGTGTCCCCATAGTTATTTTCATGCTGTCTTCTCCATTAGAATGTCAGCTTCTTGAAGGCAGGGCCTATTTGCACCTTTCTTTGTATCCCCAGTGTTTAAACACAGTGCCTGGAGCACAGCAAACATTTAATAACTATTTCTTGACTGATTGAATGAATGAATTTGGGCCTTGAGTTTGCTTTGTTTAAATTTTATCTAGAATGCTGTTGAAATTGGTGACGGATATGCTCAGCCTGAAGTTCTTCCTTATTCCACTTCCTGTTAAGAAAGTTAATCATTTGTGTGGCCATTAATGTCACTAAGAAGGAGCTATGGTATTCTGGGGCTCTATGTCATCTGCAAGTAAGAGCACCTCAAAGAGCTAACCCTCTGTCAGGAATCCCTCTATTTGGATTCTCATCCACAACAGTGGCAAACACTTTTGGTGACCATGTCTCCCTGTTCTGTGCCTTACTTCCTGGATATTGATGAACGAGGATCGTTAGAGCTCTCTCTAAGATTACATCTGGTTTCGCTAAGCTTGCTGGTGGGTTTGGATTCTACAAGCAAGGAGAAACACCTGGAAATACTGACCACCACAATGGTTAATTAGCCTTGCAGGGGAAGTTATAGGGGTAGGGATGACTGGGCAGTCCAGTGGTACAACAAGGTATACACACACACACACACACACGCACACACACACACACACACAGAGTACATTACTTAGCAGTATTCAAGGGGAAGGGGTGGAGTGGAGGTCCTCACAGGACACAGAACACTCATTCCCACTAAGTCACAAGGAGCCTTCTTCTCATGCACCACAAGCATTGGGCTGTCTCTGGATGGAGAGAGATCCCTGTGCTGTTGGAGCCTGGGTGCTTTGTTCCCTCACAGGGGCTTATCAGGAGAAGGGCAGCCCCAGAGCTCCTGCCAGATGGTTTTTCAAATGATGCCAGCATTCCCATCAGGCTCCTTATTGCTAGAGGTGAAGGCCCAATTTTGTGAGAGAGGGAGGAAGGCCTCTGGCATGCTGGGGAGACACCCTGTGTGGAACTTTCAGCAAGACGTGTAAACGAGAGTCGCACAGAATGGGGAGGCATGGAAGGTTTGCCTTTCACATGGTGGGAGAGAGCTGCTGAATTGATGTGATCACAGATCCGTTGGAGTGTTTTTTTCCAATTATTCCTTAGCTGCTCTCTGAAACAAAATTCATATTTTTAACACCAGCATTCTTCCAGTGATATTATGTAGCTGTGTATAGCTCATGACACTCCCCAGTCTCTAAACAGTCAAATCAGAGATGCTTAAAAGAAAATGGAGAGGTCCATTGTGGGGGTCAGTAGACTGCAGCCTAATGTCGTCGATGATTCGTGTTCAGGGAGGGGTTGACCTCCAGAAAACGAAAGCTCAGGAGAGGAAGTGGACCAGGCAGGTAGGAAGAACAAGGAGCCACAGATGGGCACCCAAAGCTGGCCTGGCAGTCACCAAGTGTGAAAGAGGCTGAGAAAGGCTTTCTGTGTGGTGGTCAGCTCCTCCGTGAATCAGAGCGTCCTGAATAAATGAATGAAGGAGCATTTTTGGAGTGGTCACTGTGTACAGAGCATTTACTAATGGAAAATCAAGACAGCCCCAACTTCCAAGGAGTTTACATCATAATAGGAGACAAGTAAGGAAGCAGTAGTTTTTGTTGTAAGCCAGATGGAAAGGTCCAGTGACTCTATCCTTAGGGTACAGTGGCAAAACTGGTGGTTATGCCTCTTCTTTAAAACCATAACTGTTTCTGATTTAACGTCGATGAAAATTGTGCAAGATAAAAAAACATAGATGGGTTGAATTTGCATTGTCAAAGGGGACTGCCAGTATCAATGAGGTAATGGATCCAATTATGTATTAAAATATTCTCTTATTAGTGTATATTTCCAAGAGTTAATTCAGTGATTAGTGACTTAAAAAAGAAATAGAAATCGAGATAGAGGTAACACAAAGTAAATCAGAATCCTCAGCAAAGATGACTTTTAATAAGGCAAGTTTGATTATAAATCTTTCTTCCACTTTTCCTTGTAAGCTTAGAGCGTATTTATATAGCACAAAAATCTAACCTATGAAAGAACACTAGGGAACTGAGGTCACTAGAAAGACCAGGAGTTTGGTTTAACAAATGCCATGTTACCCCATCAGAACAAAGGATAATGAAATTGGCATTTACTCACCAACAGGCACGTGGAAGTCCAAGTGTTTGGTGACCAGCATGGCAATGCCGTGTATTTGTTTGAGAGAGACTGCAGTGTGCAGAGAAGATACCAAAAGATCATCGAGGAGGCCCCAGGGGTGAGGACAATCTTCAGAGGAATTTACAGCTAGTTTGCCTTGATTGTCATGTCAGTGGCCTGTGAAGTCTAGTCCCATTTCCCCAAATCTGAAATCTAATCCCACTTCCCTCTAGGTCTTCTGATCTGTAGGGGTGGAGTGAGTTTCCTCATAGGAAAGAGGGAAGCAAACAGGCATTTATGTAGCACCTGCTATCTGCCAACCCTGTGTTAAGGATTTCACAAATATTATTTCATTTGATCCTCACAGTAATTCTAGGAAGAAGGTGCTGTTATTATCCCCATTTTACTGTTGTGGAAACTGAGGCAGGCAGTGCTTAAGTGACTTGCCCATCCATGGTCATACAACTCGTAAGTGTTTGAGACCAGATTTGAACTCGTCTTCCTAACTCCCTGCCCAGCACTCTGATTACTGTTGGGCAGCTCCTTGGGAGCTCCTCTACACTGATGAAATCATAGGGCTGGTTAATATCAGAAGCTTATCATAATATACTTGAGGGCCACACAGTGGTCTGGTCAGTGAAGCCACTTAATAATGCGTGGGATCCAGGGTGTGCCAGTGGTGGGACAGATTTTTATTTTACAGTGACTGGTGTTTTACAGTGAGGTTTTGTTAAACAGTTTAAAAATTAAATAAAAGTAATATTAATTTTTGATTAGCCAGAAATCTATTTTTGGACAAAAATAGGTTTTGAAAAATGTGTTTGTTGAAAATTTTCTAAAATATATTTAATGCTTTTCTAGATTGAAATGAATATTTAAACTCACTTTCCTGCCTTAGTATAGAATCCTGAACTTAGAATCTTTCTTTGATTATTGAGTACATTTCATTTATAAGCCTCTCCTAGTTGCCTCACCTCTCTGGGTCTCAGTTTACTTATCTGTGAAATAAGAGGGTGGGATTAGATGCCCTCTGAGGTGTCTTCTCGCTCAACATCTGTGAGCCCTTGATGATCACTGCTGGAGCATTGTAGGATGGAGAAAGTACAGAGATTGAACCAGATGTGCTGGTCTCAGAGTATACTCCCAAACACTCTCTGATCGCTTGTTTTTATGATTCGCCTCTTTCTCCTAAGTGCATCAAAATTTCAGTGATCTTGGTGTTTCCAATTCACTGTGAATAGTCTATTCAAGACATCCTAATTTACTTGGCAAATTGATGCCCAGTGAAACTCCATTTGTAGAGAATGAGCCTCCAGTATAATTGGGGAGGAGGAGATTGTCAGTTTTTTGTTACCAAGTTCACTTATTTATTCATATGCACTTCTCCTATAAACCCATCTTAATTGGCATCGTAGACTTGGCCAAATGAAATGGGGCTTGACATTCAAGTTTTTCTCTTGGTTCCATAATAACTTCCAAAGGAACTGATTTTGACTAATATTGTCTAATTACATGGTTAATTTGTGGTTTATTTTGAAACAAAATGAGGGCAGCAAAAGTTGTCAAACAGGCATCTATAATTTTTAATGAATTAAAATAAAAACTGGTCTGGGGCACAAAGGCAGAGGCATTATTGCGCATAGTGAAATCTACAGTTGATGGACCAATTTAATGAGTCATTGATTTTGTTTGATCTGAACAGTTCCTGAAAATAAGACATTCCTTAATGGACATTTATAAAGCTAGATTTTTTAAAAATTTCTCAGTGAGAAAAGATAGAGTGAGTAATGCCCAGATCCTTGAATGAGATTTATTTTTAAAATGTTTTTAATTGTTCGCAGCCTGGAATCGATCCCGAAATAAGAAGGAGACTTGGGGAAGCCGCAGTGAAAGCTGCAAAGGCTGTTAATTATGTGGGTGCAGGTGAGTGGGTGGGAGGGAGCGAGTAGAGGGGGAATGGGAAGGAGCAGAATCAAGGCATGCATTTCTCCAATGTTGAGGGTGCAAGAAAACCATGAAGCTTTTTTTAGGGAGGGTGGAGTGAGGGCACACTTGCTGAATGTTTTACAAACCTCTGTGTGCACGTGGATTCAATTTCATAAGTCTGGGCATGAGCCAGGGTTCCCGTGGATGGAAACCTGTTCTCTGAAGAAACAAAATAATAATGACTTCCAGATTCCTCAAGTGGACCAGAGTTGGTTGCTGTCTTGGGGGGCAGGGGGTCTTTGTGGCTTTGCTACTCTCTAGTCACCTTGAAGTGGCTCAGTCATGGTCTCATTGCTGGGACCTCTGGGGCTGATTCTGGGGGCCTCCTACAGTTTACTCAGTGTTAATTTAGGGGGAATCCCTAGTCTTAGATGCTAAGTATTAGAGTTTTAATTGTTTAGGTATCAAATGTTTTCCATTTGATGAAGAATTAGAAACAAAATGACATCTGATGCATGATTGGGGGTGGGAGAATAAGCTTTTTTTTTTTTTTTGTAAGAGAATAAGCATTTATATAGCTCCTGCTCTTTATCGGGCACTGTGCTAAGTGCTGTTACAGATATTATCTAATTTAATGCTCATGATAACCCGGGGCAGGGGTGCTATTATTATCCTTATTTTACAGTTGAGGAAACTAAGGCAAATGGTTTAAGTGACTTGCCTGGGGTTACCCAGCTAGTGTCTGAGGCTAGATTTGAACTCAGGCCTCCCTGACTCCAAGTCCTAGTGCACCACAACCTGCCTCAGAGTTATGTTCTTAAAGCTGGAAGAGACCTCAGATCTCATCAGGTCTAGTTTCTTCATCTTACAGATGAGGAAACACACCAGGGAAATTAAGTGATTCAACCACAATCCCCTGTTAGTATCAGCAGAGTCAAGACTAGTACTCAGGTCTCCTGGCTTTCAGGCCAGGGATCTTTCCACTTCAGGGGCCTCTTTTTTGGCAGGATTTTGATGTGGGTGCTTCTCATACTTTACCACTGCAGCTTAACCCCCAGATCTCACATTCTAGGAACTGTGGAGTTCATCATGGACTCGAACCACAACTTCTACTTCATGGAGATGAATACAAGGTTGCAGGTGGAGCATCCTGTTACCGAGATGGTCACAGGGACTGACTTGGTGGAATGGCAGCTGCGGGTGAGCGGGCACTCTGGGGAGGAGCCAGCTGGGGCCGTGGGCAGCAAGACCTGTTGGGGCGGTCCAGTGCTCAGGAGTCAGGAAGACCTCGGTTCAGATCCAGCCTGGGTCACTTACTAGCTGGGTGACTGAACGAGTCACTTCACCACTGTCAGTTGTAAAATAGTAAGAACATCTACCTCTCTGGGTCATTGTGAGTGTCGAATGGCATAACCAATGTAAAGGATTGTACAAACTTTAAAAAGTTCTGTAAATGCTAACTCTTCTTTTTAGGGAAGGAGCCCATGAAACATGGAAGCCCAGAACAAAGATGATGTGGTTGCCCTATCAGTCAGAAGGCAAAGAATGCTTAATTCATAGGATTATATTTCTAGAGTCAGAGGGAGTCTTGAAGCCCATTCAGAATCAGTCCCCCCATTTTACAGATGAGGAACTAAACACTATAGGAGTCAAGTGGCTGAGCCAGCGTCACACAGGAGGTGTGATTTGCGTGCAGGGTCTCTGATTCCAGAGCCACGGCACTTTTTACACAATCTCACGGCCTTCTCTGTATGAATCTCTGTACCAGGAAGCCACAGAGATAGCTGAGACATTGTCTTATCCTCAGTTACTACTTAGATTGTAATCATTGACCATAAGTCGAAAGCTGATAACAGTCAGGATTCAGGGCATATACAGAAGCCAGAGGTCAGGGAGAGCAGATGAGAAAAACTAGAGGTAAGAGAATCTTGCTTTAAATGCTCACAGCAACCACAGGAACCACAGCCTGGCCTTGCAGGGGTAGGTCAGCACAGGTGTAGAGCAGGGCGCCCTAGTGACATGAGTTGGGAGGTAGGTTGGCCTGGAGTGGAGAGAGATGTTCAGAAACCAGGAAACACACTGATAGTCCGCCCCACACAGTGCTACCAGCAGAGCGGGGCCAGCAGAGGGATCCCCTTTTGCCATTGTCAGTGATCTCTAGAGAGAGTACATCTTCAGTGTTACTCTCGATCAAATAAAGGTGAAACAGGTTCAAAGTGTGTCCATTCCTCTGCCCTTCTTGAATAACATCAGATTCCTCATCCTGCTCAGCAGGCACCTCCCTCTGATAAAAATTAGTGAGGACTTAGATGGACTTAGGGCAGCTGTGAGACAGAATGCAAATCCTGCTGTTGCCTCCGTTTTGCTGCTGAGGCTCTCCGGTAGTGAAGATGTAAGTATTCACACTGCTTCCCGAGTCATCCAAGGCATCCATCTCCTCTTTGATCATAGTGCTTCACTTTTGACATAGGTATTTCCCGAATGTGATTCTGATGATGACGATGATAATGACAGCTGGTATTTACGTACCCTGATGAGTCTTGCAAAATGCTTTACCTGTGTTATCTAACTGGGTCCTCACAACGACCTTCTGAGGTAGGTGCAGTTGTTATCACCGTTTTCCAGACGAGGACAGTGCTGCTGAGAGAGGTTCAGTGATTTGCCCAGAGTCTCTCAGCTAGTAAGTAACTCAAACTCCAACCTCCTTGACCGTGTGGCTTAGTTCGAAGTGTTAGTAGTCATGCTCAAATTTTGAGTCTTGATGAGTTTTGTTTTGTCATTTGCCAAAAAATATTTTGGGTCTTCTGGCCCCTTCGTCCTTTCTCTAGCTTGCTGTGTTTGCTGGGCAGCTCTGGCCAGATCTATAAGTTTTTGAGAAATTTGAAGTGTATTTTCAAGCTGCCAAGAATCTCAGACTTAGGATGCTTGACTTCAGTAACTAACTCTTCTTCTGTGCCTGGTAACGTGCATTTCCTTGTTTATTTTAATTAGTTTTTGTTTTATGTATTATTAAAGACAGTTGTCCCATTTTATCTGTATTTTATTTTGCAGCCCATGAGGCAGAATACAAATCTTTAACAAAAATAGTGTCAGCCACTCTCCCAAGTTGTCTTTTGGATTCTTTTGCCAGCTATGGGATTTTAAAGTTGGCTGCCAAGTACTAGAGCTTAGCATTGCAATCCAACCAACTACAGCCTTGCCCTGGCTGAACTCCACAGAGGTTGGAGGTCACTGTGCTAGGTGGACGAGAATCAGCCGACTCTCTGGTAAAGGGCGGCACTCTTTTGGCAGCTTTTGAGAAGCTACATCTGTTTTTGTTCTCTTTTCTGAAATAAGTGAAGGATCACACGTTGCTGTGCAATTCGCAGCTCTTTTTGTATGTGGAATCCAGCCTTTTGGGACCAGATTCAGGGATACTCCTTTCATTATCAGCATTCCCTTCTTTCTTTTGTTTCTCTAGATGCAGAGACGTTAGAGGTTCTTATGGTTTGTTGGGGAGAGCTAGTTGCTGGTTCTTCTGGAGCCAAAACCATTCCTTTTTGATCTTCTGTGTTCTCTGATCTCATGGTCACCAGACTTCACAGATTTTTAATGTTCAGGGAAATTGGTACCTGATGTAAGAGGTATGTGTCCACAGTTCCAGGAAAACTATGTCATTCTAGAACTCAGGAAAAGAGGAAGATTGCAGCTTTTGAGGCTTAACAGTACCAGAAAAGACAGATTTCTGATCTCAGGAATTTACTTGGGGGAATTCAAATGTCCCTAAAGCTTTGGTTTCTGAGGCTTAGGGGAGATAGCATGATTTTGAGGTTCACAGAAAAGGGAAGATTTGTCGACTGTCATGCAACCTGCTGTAGATACAGGGAGATCAATAGAGGCAGAAATGGGCTTTTAGGGATCTAAAAACATGGAAACTGGTTTCTGTTGGTTGAGAAAACTGTGCTCAGATGGCATTGTTGGATTTGGCTTTTGAAACTCCACAATGTCCAGGCAGGAAAAGCCGATCCAGCCTCAGGCCTCATGCAGGCAACTGCTTATTGGAGCTGAGAGTCTAAGCTTCCAGGCCTCAGTGGAGATCCAGGAGGCTGCCAGGATCCAGGAGGCTGCCAGGACCCAGGACAAAAAAGGAGTAGTTTCCAAGGTTTGTGACACCCCAGTGGTACAAGTTTCCAAATCCCTGGCAATCCAGACTGGGCTAGTTTCCTGGAAAAGTACCTGCCAGAGAAGCATATGAAGGTGGCAGATAGCCACCCCAACATCCATGTGCCCACCTGGAGTGAAGTCTCTTCTGGGCCTGCAGTTACCACATGAGACAAGACAGGGCTCTTTTTTTCCTTAGATGTACATTTCGAACCCAGCTTTGGCAAGTGACTAATATGGGGACAGTTATAGCCCCACTGAGTACACATCCGAATTTGTTACTGGGAGTGGAGGAAAATATTTGTTCAATAATGTTGTGGTGAATTCACTCTCCTCTTTCAAATATTTTATTGAAATGGATTTTTTATTTAGGAACAGAAACTTGAAATGTGGTATTACTTCTTTAAGCCCTTAGATTCTTTCTTTTGCAAATAAAAGTATATGTTATAGAGCAGTGACGCTGTGCTTGGTCCTTTCTGTTACAGTAACTTTGTATTTCATTTTGATAATGTGCACCCTGAAAAGTGAACTTCACCAAAACAAAAGAGTACTGAATATATCCTGGGAATACATAGAAACTGAAAATTCAGTCACACACCTATTTCCTTTCCAATCAGTTTTGCTTTATCGCTAGACGGTAAGGGTCATTAGAAGATTTTGTTCTCAGCCTACCTACACATTGAGATTAAAAATAGGAAAATCATAATGCAACATATACATCAGAGGATCCTGGCAGTTGTCATAGGCTGTGTTGAATAATGGCTGTATATGAGGAAGACTGAATGGAGGCTTGAGTATTCGTGTTTGAAAGTTAAAAAAAATTCTTGATTATTTCCTTTTTTAATTATATTTTTATTTTGTTTCATTAAATATCTTTCAATTGCATTTAAAAAAATTTAACGTTTGTATCTAAAAATTTTGAGTACCCAATTCTTTCTCACCTTCTGTCCCCTCCCTCCACCCATTGAGAAGGCAGGCTATCTGATATCAATTATACATGTGAAATCATGTAAAACATATTTCCATATTAGCCATGTTTCAAAAATAAAACAGTAAGAAACAAGAAACATAAAGATAGTAAAAAAAATATGCTTCAATCTGCACTCAGAGTTCATCAGTTGTCTCTCTGGTGATAGATAGCATTTTTCATCATAGGTCCTTTGGAATTATCTTGGATCATTGCACTGAGCAGAGTAGCTAAGTCTTTAACAGATGATCATCCTTACAATATTGCTGCTACTGAGTGCAGTAGTCTTCTGGTTCTGCTTACTTCACTTTGTATCAGTTCACATAGATCTTCCCAGTTTTTTCTGAAACCATCATACTCATCATTTCTTATAGCACAATAGTGTTCCATCACAATCTACAGCTTGTTCAGCCATTCCCAAATTGATGGGAACCCCCTCAGTTTCCATTTTTTTGCCACCACAACAAGCTGCTATAAATGTTTTTGTACAAATAGGTCCTTTTCTCTTTTCTTTGATCTCTTTGGAATACAGACCTAGTAGTGGTATTCTTGGGTCAAAAGGTATGCATAGTTTTGGCCCTTTGGCCATAGTTCCAGACTGTTCTCCAGAATGATTGAGCCAGTTTACAACTCCACCAGCAGTGTATTAGTGTCTCTACTTTTCCACATCCCCTCTAGCATTTGTCATTTTCATTTTCTATCATGGTAGTCAACCTGACAGTTATGAAGTGGTATCTCAGAGTTATTTTGATTGCATTTCTCTAATCAATAGTGATTTAAAGCACTTTTTCATGTGACTATCAATAGCTTTGATTTCTTCTAAAAACTGCTTATTCATATCCTTTTACCATTTATCAACTGGGGATTGGCCGCTATCTTTATAAATTTGGCTCGGTTCCCTAATATTTGAGAAATGAGGCCTTTATCAGAGAAGCTTGCTCTAACATTTCCCCCTAGTTTTCTGCTTTCCTCCTAATTTTGTCTGCATTGGTTTTGTTTGTACAAAAAAAAATTTAAATTTCATGTAATCAAAATTACGTACCTTACTTCCTGTCTTTTATTTTGTCATAAAATTGCCCCTTAGCCATAGATCTGACAGTTCAGTTTCCCCATGTTCCCCTAATTTGCTTATGATATCGCCCTTTAGGTCTAAATCATTTATCAGTTTTGACCTTATTTTTGTATAGGGTGTGAGATGTTGGCTTATTCCTAGTTTCTACCAAACTGCTGTCCAGTTTTCCCAGCGGCTTTTGTCAAATGGTAAATTCTTGCCTCAGAAGCTTATTATGGTCACTTACTCTTGTGTATTATATACTTAATCTATTCTACTGATTTACTGTTCTGTTTCTTATCTGGTAACAGATTGTTTTCATGATTAATTCTTTGTAATAGATTTCAAAATCTAGTACTTTTTTTGTTGTTGTTGTTGTCGTCATTATTATTATTATTAACATGGTCAGTTAGGCTTTTAGTTTCCCTAATATTGAACTAGCATTGCATTTCTGGTATAAATCCAGCCCAATGATGGTATATGATCACTGTGATATATTGCTGTAATCTCTTTGGCATCATTTTATTTTGATTTTTTGTGTAAATATTCATTAGGTAAATTGGCCTGTAGTTTTCTTTCTCTGTTTTTGCTCTCCCTAGTTTAGATATCAAGACCATATCTATGTCATAGAAGGAATTTGGTAGGACTTCTTTACCCATTTTTCCAAATAGTTTATGAAGCATTGAGATAAATTCTTCTTTAAATGTTTGGTAGAATTCACTTATAAATCCATCTGGTCTTGGAGATTTTTTCTTAGGAAGGTCCTTTATGGCTTGTTCAATTTCTTTCTCTAAAATAAGGTTATTTCAGTATTATATTTCCTTTTCTATTAATCTGGGCAATTTATATTTTTGTAAATATTCATCCATTTCACTTAGAGTCTCAGTTTACTGGCATATGATTGGACAAAATAACTCCTAATAATTACTTTAAATTCATCTTCATTGGTAGTGCATTCACCCTTTTCATTTTTGAGACTGATCATTTGTTTTTCTTTTTTAATCAAATTAACCAGTGATTTATCTGTTTTATTGGTTTTCTTTTTCATTTTGGTGTTTAATTGGAGATTTTAAATTTGTTCTTTTTCTAGGTTTTTTTAGTTGTATGTCCAATTCATTGATCTGCTTTTTCTCTCTTTTATTGATGTACACATTTAGAGGTATAAAATTTTCCCTAAGTATTGCTTCGGCTGCGTCCCGCAAATGTTAGTATTTTGTCTCATTGTTGTCATTACATTTAATGAAATTACTGATTGTTTCTATAATTTATTGTTTGACCCACTCATTCTTTAGAATTAGATTATATAGTTTGCAATTAATTTTTTAATCTGTGCTTCCATGACCTCTTATTGAATGTAATGTTTATTGCATTATGATGTGGAAAGGGTGTACTTAATATTTCTGCTTTTCTGCATTTGGTTGTAAGGTTTTTATGCCCTAATAATGGTCATTTTTTGTGATGTTGCCACATTCAGCTGGAAAAAAAAGGTGTACTCCTTTCTTTTCCCATTCAGTTTTATTCAGAGGTCTATCATAACTTGTCTAAATTTCTATTCATCTCCTTAACTTTTCTCATTTATAGTTAGATTTATATTGGTCTGAGAGGGAAAAGTTGAGGTCCCTCATTAGTATAGTTTTACTGTCTATTTCCCCCTGTAATTCATTTAACTTTTCCTTTAAGAATTTGGATGCTATTCTGCTTGGTGCATATATGTTTAGTATTGATATTACTTCATTGTCTGCTGTGCCTTTTAGCAAGATGTAGTTTCCCAGCTTATTCCTTTTAATTAGATCTGTTTTTGTTTTTGCTTTGTCTGAGATCGTGATTGCTAACCTTGCCTTTTTTCACTTTAGTTGAAGTATAATAGATTCTGCTCCAGTTCCTTATTTTAACTCTGTATGCGTCTCTCAGTTTCAAGTGTGTTTCTTGTAAACAACATATTGTTAGATTCTGGTTTTTAATCCATTCTGTTGTCCACTTCCATTTTTTTCATATTTGCAGCTATGATTATTAACTGTACATTTCCTTCCATCATATTTTCTTCTGTGTATCCTTCCTTCTCTCTCTGTATCTCTCTCTCTCTTTCTCTTTTCATCCCGTTCCTCCTCAAAATTCTGTTTTGCTTCTGACTACTGCCTTCTCTTTATCTGCTCTCCCTTTTATCATTTCCCTTCCTCTCTTATTGCCTTCCCCTCCTCCTTCTGTGTTGGGTAAAATAAATTTCTATTCTCAACTGAGTGTGTATACACACACACACACACACACACACACACACACACACACACATATATCTTTTTTTCTTTGAATCAGTTCAGATGAGAGTGAGGTTCAAATATTGTCCATCTAACCGCCTACCATTTCCCCCTTCCCTGTAAAAGCTCTGGCTTGCACACCTCTTTTATATGAGATAATTTCCTCCATTCTTCCTGTCCCTTTCCCCTTCTCCCAGTACATCCGTCTTTCTCACCTGTCCATTTTTTTGATCATTCCAACATAATGCAATCATTCTAATGCCCTCTGTCTGTATGGAGTCCTTCTGACTACCCTCATAACGATAGTTTTTAGGCGTTATATGTATCATCTTCCTATTCAGGAATATAAACAATTTAACCTTAGAGAGTCCCTTATGAATTCTCTTTCATGTTCACCTTTTTATGCTTCTCTGGAGTTTTTGTATTTGAAAGTCTGATTTTCTTTTCAGCTCTGGTCTTTTTACCAGGAATATTTGAAAGTCCTCTATTTCATTAAATATCTATTTTCCCCCTGAAGGATTATTCTCTATTATTCTTGGTTGTAATCTCTGCATCTTTGACTTCCACAATATCATTCCAATCCTGCCCTTTCTTTCATGTGGCCAGTGATAAATCTTGTGTGATCCTAACTATGGCTGCACGGTAGGTGAATGTTTTCTTTCTATCTGCTTGGAGTATTTGCTCTTTGACCTGGGAGCTCTGGAATTCAGCTATAATGTTCCTGGCAGTTTTCGTTTTGGTTTCTCTTTCAGTTATTTATCAGTGGATTCTTTCAATTTCTATTTTTATCCTCTGATTCTAAAATATCAGGGCAGTTTTCCTTGACAATTTCTTGATATATGATGTTTAGGCTCTTTCTTTGCTCATGACTTTCAAGTAGTCCAATAATTCTTAAATTATCACGACTCACTCCATTTTCTAGGTCATTGTTTTTCCAGTGAGATATTTCACATTTTCTTCTATTTTTTTCATTCCTTCAGCTTTGATTTATAGCCTTGCTTGATGCCTCCTGGAGTCATTAGGTTCTGCTTGCCCAATTCTAATTTTAAAGGAATAGTTTTCTTTAGCAAGCTTTTGTATCTCTTTTCCCATTTGGCCAATTCTGGGTTTGGGGTGTTATTTTCTTCAGTATTTTTGTGACTCTTTTACGAAGCTGTTAATTGTCCTTTCATAATTATCTTGCATTTCTCTCATTTCTATTCCCCGTTTTTCCTCTCCCATTCTTATGTGATTGTGAAAATCATTTTTTAAAGCTCTTCCAGAAATTCTTGTTCAGCTTGTGTCCAATTCGCTCTTTTTGTCTTAGAGGCTTTGCTTGCAGCTGTTTTGGTATCATTGCCTTCCTCTGAGTTTGTGTCTTGATCTTCCCTGTCACCAGAGTAGCTTTTCATAGTCAGGTTCTTTCTTCGTCATTTGCTTATTCTGTTGTTTGTCCAGCCTTTGCACTTTATGTTAAACTTTAGTTTTGCTTGTGCCATGGGGAGGAGGGGTAGTATTCTGAGTTTCAGACTTTTTCCTCACTGCTGATTTCGGAGCTAGTTTTCAGGGGTTTGAAGTTTTTGATGCTTCCCGGATGGTGTGATCCAGGGAGAGGCGTGCTCACTGCTCTCCTGGTGTGTTCTCTGGTCTTTACTCAGGAAGGGCCCTGATCCCTTGGGGTTTCCATTGAGTCTGCTTTTCAGGGTCCCCGCTTCCTCGGAACAGCAAGTGTTCCTCTCTGCCGAGGAGCTGCGATCCAGGAGTGGGCATGGGGAATGGCGCTGCCAAACTCATCATGTCCTGCACCTAGTGCTAGCCCAGGAGTCCCTTATAGTCTCTTTCTAACCAGCTGCCCAATCCCCTTACCATCTCTGTCTTGAGAGCTCCCAAAGGTGCTGCTGCTTCTGTTGCCACCACCAGTCCCACCACTGGGGTTGCTTCCACATGGACTCCAAACCAGCCTCCATCTTAATTTCACAGATCTTTCTTTCTGACCTCCGACGTTGTCTTGGGCTCGAAGAATGTCTCATCCTGTACTTCGTTGGCTCTGTTGCTCCAGAGTTATATCTGAGGCGTTGTTTTAAAAGTCGTTTGGAAGGGAATGTTGGGAGAACTTGGCTGCAGTACTCCCTATACTCCGCCATCTTAGCTCTACCTCTGGAAGTCTTCTTGACTATTTCCAACCACCATTGTGCCATAAGTGTGCCTAGCCTTGATATTTGGACTCAAAATGTAACTGCTTTAGGGAGGAAGCTACAAAACTCTTTGCCATTCGCGTTCACTTGTAGACCATTTCCAAAAGAAGGCATCTCAAAAATGGCTCAAAGTATAAATATGTGAGTGGATCAAAATACTGTTGTCTCCATTGGCTACACTTTAAGTAAAATTAGATATTCAGTCCAGAAAGTGCCAGAACCAAGGTTTGTTAATGCTCTTAACTATTATTATAAGATAGGTTATTGCTAAAATATTCTTCTTTTCTTAGATTGCTTCTGGAGAGAAGCTCCCTTTGAGTCAGGAAGAAATAAGATTGAAAGGCCATGCCTTTGAAGCGAGAATATATGCAGAAGATCCTCAGGATAATTTCATGCCTGGGGCGGGACCCCTCGTACACTTGTCTACACCACCCCCAGGACCTAGTGTTAGGATTGAAACTGGAGTCAGGCAAGGTAAGTGGGGATGAGTGTCTGGCCCTTGTTACTTTCAATCTGCCTGTAAATGAGGACAGTGATTGTTGTGCTCACCTCCCTCCCAGGGACTGTGGCCAGGAAGCAGGTGGCGAGCCCCAAGGGGCTCAAGCAGTGGGACTCGTTCTTGTCTTGGTGACAGCCTCCTCCCTAGCCCTTTGGCCAGCCAAGTTCTCCCTTCTTTTACAGCCACTTTAATGGCATCCATGAATTTGCCATTGTTTTTCATTCTTTTAAAAGTGACAGCTGATTTTAAAGAAGAAACAAAAATTTGTGAAACCCCCCACTCCCCTTTGGAAAGCTTGCATTGTTTCCCCCCATCAGCAGAACTTGCTGATTGCCTGCACGTCCTGTGCACAGCACATTGGAGAATACTCACAAGTCTGGTTGAGAACAGGGTCTGCTGTCAAGGAGCTGGTCTCTTTGTGTAGATAAGAACTGAAACTACATTAAATAGCAATTAAGGAATTAAGTAACAGTTCAAGGCAGTAGAAGAGACATCCCGGGGCTCTACTTAGTCAGTTGCGACATGGATTGTATGGTGTTTTCAGAGTTCATTGGAGGGGAGATACACTGCCACTCTGATGGAGTGTTAGTCACAGTTACAGAGGGGGTAGATTTGAGTTGGTTTTTGTGGTAGAGGTGGATTAGGTAAGCAGAGATAAGAAAGGTGAAGTTCTGGGCCAGAGGATTGAGGGATCTGGGGGGACGACAGACTCCATAGGAGACTGTCATGGCACGGGAAGAGGCGTGGCTTCCAGGAAGAGGTTGGTGAGGGTCCCTTTGTGTTCTGCCCTTGCGGGACCTCATCTGGATTGTCAGTTCTGGGCAGTCCAGTTTGAGAAGGACACTGACAAGCCAGAGAGTGTCCAGAGGAAGGCAGCCAGCATGGTGAAGCCCTAGAGTCCTGTTAGGTGAGGCACCACACATGCCTAGTCTGAGAAGAGAAGATTCAGGGATGCCCGAAAATCATCTTCAGTATCTGAGGGGCTCTTACACGGAGAAGAGATTAGACTGGTTTTGTTCAACCCAAGAGGGCAGAATCAGGAGATAGGTAGAAGTGGCAAAGTGGCTGGATGTCAGGAAACAGCGCAAGTCACGAGGATGCATCAGTCACATTTCTGGATGCCAGAAGTGGCATAGGCTGCGTGGAGGGCAGGGTCCCATCCACAGAGGTCTTCAAGCAGAGCCTAGGCAGCCACTTCTCGAGGATATGGTGCCTTGCAGCTGTGGGCTGCACTGGAGGACTTCGCGTGTCCCTTCCTATGTGAGCACTGACCACGAGGAGCCACGTGGCATGTTGGGGGGACAGTGAGGAAGCCAGCGGAGCAGCACAAGTGAGTATTTGGAAATAGGACTGGACAGGCAGGTCGGAGCCTGGCTGTGAAGGGCCTGGAGCGCTGACGTGAAGGAGTTGTATTCACACTGATCACAGATAGCCTTCTGAGGGCTCTCAGTGAGCCACGGGATAACTAAGCAGTCACGGGATGTCCAGCTCTTCTTCTTCAGTTAGCTCGGTGCTGCCACTTTCACAGTACCCATGCTTTATTCATAGTGTTGAGAGGAGCTGTTTCTGGCGGGAGACACCTTTGGTGTTGTGGAGGCAGGCTGAGCGTGTTTGAGGGGCAGAGGACGGTGATGTTGATGTTCTATGGAGTCAGCGTTGGAACTTGGAAATAAGTGAGGCAAATGTATGTTATTAATTCACTAGTGAACAGATTATGACTTTAAAAAAATGTGCCCCCCCGAGGAGCTGGTCAGACACGAGGTAGGCAGCAACCTTCAAAAACCAACGTGCCATGGTTCATACCGCTCTTCTGTTCATGGGGAGGGGGGGTGCAGGGGGTCAGGGCAGAGGGGCGCTGAACATCACCCAGTTGCTGACTGGCATGCTAGATTGTGCACCAGCTGCCAGTCTGAGGAGGTGCAGGGGGAGCAGGGCAGGAGGGCTCACAGAGAGTGTCTTGGCTGCCACAGCAAACAGTTTGTGAGCACTAGAAGGAAGAGGATGAGTCACCAGTTGGCCCTTGAGATTACCAGTAATGTTTCATGGATACAAAAGCAGCCCTGAGGCTGCCCATAGTAGTGATCTTCAGAGGAGAACATGAGGCATGCATGCTTGTGTTGTTAACACCTAAATTAGAGTGAGATCATTTTTTACAATACAGTGTTGGGAAGAAAGTCCAAGAGTCACCCTGTTTTTATACCATCTACAAACATTAATGGCCAGTACTTGAAATGTGAGCTTTTTGTCAGTTGGCCAACGGAACTGATTCCCATCCACGTTGACATTCTTACTCTAAGTGAGGGGCTTTTAACCTTTTCTGTGTTGTGAACTCCCTTTGGCAATCTGGTGAAGCCTGTGGACCCTTTCTCAGAATAATACTTTTAAATGCATAAAATAAAATACAAAAGATTGCAAAGGACACCAGTTACAAACAGTTCTTGCTTTATATAAGTGGACCATTCTACAAAAGCAATTTCTACATAATGCAGATTTGCCCATGGAAGGAAGGGGCAGGGGGGAGGAAGGCAGGGAGGGGGCTGTGTGCCCCCAGGGACAGAGAAGTAAGAGCAGGAAGAGGAGCACACAGGGGCTGGGTCAGTCACATGGGGGCCCAGCTGGAACTGAGAGGAAAAACGCACAGGGGGCAGACACATGGGGCCAGACATAGACACAGGCAGGAGAGGACAGGTGACATGTAGAAGCCAGGAACAGACAATGCAGTAGCCAAGCATGGACAGAGGGAATTCACATACATGGGGGCTGAACACTCAGGTGGGTAGGCAGATCCAGGCAAAGGTCTCAGGAGGTCTCATGATAAGGCCTTGATCCCACAGTCACTCCATGATTCATTCTTCTGTTTTCACTTGGAGGGTTTGGGGGGTTAGGGTTTTCTTTTGTGGGGGGCAGGAAGCCATGGAGCACGGAGCCAAAGGGCAGGAGTGGAGAGAGAGAGAGCACAGTACTGAACAGTAAAGTTAATATAGGTGGTTTTATAATACAGATTTCTCTTAGAATTCTTTACTTAAAGTTGAATTTTTGTCATGCAAATTTATGTAAAATGAGAACTGTCTGTATATTGAAGTACAATTATCAGAATATGTATTTTAAAAACCCAAGTTCATAGATCCCAAGTAAAGACCCCTCACTCTAAGTGAAGCCAGAAGATAAAAAGTATTTGAAGCCGTGGGAACCATAAGACAAGGCCTGGCCTCTCTTCTAGGAGGCAAATAAAGGAGCTGGAGAAATGGGTCTACTTGTGTGCCCCAGGGCAATGAGAAATCCAGTATCACAGAACACTTGATCACATCACATTGGTATGCTCAGAATAAGCTTCCATGAAAAGAAGTGCCACTTACTTGTCACATCTATTGCAGGAAGTGAAAAAGTAGAAAAATTACATGGTGAACTCAACAGTCAATCAGTTAACAAGCATCCCTTATGGACCAGGCATTGTGCTAAGCCCAAGGGATACAAAGAGAGGCAAAAACACTCTCTCTGACTGTGAGGAACCCACATTCCCGTAGGGGAGTCAACCTGCAAATAGCTGTACCTATATTGTACATGCAATGTAAATGAAAGGAAGCCCCAGAGGGCAGGCCCTAGCAGTGGGAAGCCAGGAGACAGAAGGGAGGGTGCAGAGCATTCCAGGGATGGGACAGAGTGACAGCAGGATGAGGAGGTAGAGGAACAGCAGGAAGGTGGCCACAGCTAGATCTAGTCTGTGAACAGCAGCGCCATGTAAGAAATAGGAAAAAGAAGCCAGGCGATGGGGGCCTTTAAATGCCAAGCAGATGACTTTATATCTGGTCCTGGAGTCAACAGGGAGCCACTGTAGAGTAGAAGGGAGACTAGGTCACACCTGAAAGTTAGGGAAACCACTTTGGCAGCTCCATGGAGCCTGGATCAGAGTGGGGGAAAGACTTGAGGCCCAGACACCAGCTGGAAGATTGCGGTGAGAGTGCAGGTGAGAGAGGTGATGGGGTCCGTACTCAGGTGCCAGCTGTGTGAGAAGGAAGGACACACCCAAGAGGTGTTGTGAAGGGAGAGACAAGTACGGGCCTTGGCAACAGCTGGATATGTGAGGCGAAAGCAAGAATCAGCAGTGATGCTGGGGTGGCGGGTCCTACCTGAATATCGAGTGGTTTCACGTGACAAAGAGGCCAAGCACTGAAAAATTTGATTTAGGATGAAGTGAGCCACAGATGTGTAGACTCTTCACAAACCTCACACCTGTGTGTCATGAATACTGTTTTTAAAAGAAGATTCAAAAGAGGTTGGCTCTAGTGAGCACTGAAGAATATCATAAAAATTAGAATTGGTTAGACCTTAACAGGCAGAAAATGAGTGTACCAGTGTGGGAGTCATTTCAGAATCTTCTGCCTCTGCTCAGTCAAAGCAACCACTGGTCAGGCAGTGAAGCATTTACATGGTCACTATGTGTCAGGCACTGTGCTAAGCATTAGACATACAAAGGGAGACAAAAACACAGTTCCTTCCTTCAAGATCTTACATTCTAATGGGGAAGGCAACAAACATACAATTGCATATAGACAATAAACCAAATAGATCAAAAGTAATGTCAGAGGGAAGGCACCTCTGGGGAAAAGGGTAGACTGAGGAAGGCCTTCTTCAGAAGGTGGGATCTGAGCCTAGTCAAATTAAGCCAGGGAGGCCAGGAGCTAAAGGCAAGAGGGGAGAGCATCCCAAGTAGAGCCAGTGAAAACATGGAGTCAAGAGAAGGAATTGCTGGGTGTTGCTGGATTATCACATACGTAAAGGGCAGTAAAATGTAAGAAGGTTGGAAAGATAGGAAGGATCAGACAGTAAAGTAAATGTCAGAAGATTTTGTATTTCATCCAGGAACTAACATGGAGCCACCGAAGCTTATTGAGTTGGAGAGATGGGGTGGACGCAGGGGGCAGTGGAGTTACACCTGAACTTAAGGAAGAGTGAGGGTGGACAGGAGTAGGGAGAGATGTGAGGCTAGGAGACCAACCAGAAGGCCATCCATAACAAATTAGAAGAAAGGATAAAAGCAATTTCCCCAGTAGATAAGTGGTCAAAGGATTTGAACAAATATATCTCAAAAGAATTGCCAGCTATTAGCAAGCATATGAAGGAATGTTCCAAATCACCAATAATAAGAAATTTGCAGGTTAAAATAGCCCTGAGGTTTGACTTCATAGCCTGCAAATTGGCAAAGACGACAAAAGAGGAGAGCAGTCAACATTGGAGGGACTGTGGAAAGATAATCACTCTAGTCGCCTTCACGAACCGTGGCTGGTGAAGCTGGGAAACAACTTGGAATTATGCAAATGAAGAAAATTAAATGTCCATACCCTTTGACCCAAAGATTCTCCTACTTTGGGGCTTATACCCCAAGAAGGCCATTGATAAGAAAGTCTTCATGTACACCAAAATATTTATAGCAGCAATTTTGTGATGGCGAAGCATCAGAAACAAAGCAGATGTCCATGGATTGGAGAACGTTTAGATAAGTTGTGGTACATGAGTGTAGTGAAGTATTACTGTTCCATAAAGAAATGATGACTGTAATGAATACAGAAAAGCAAGGAAAGATCTGTATGAACTGATACATAACGAAATAAGCAGAACCGAGAAACGAGGATATACCATGACTACAGCAATGTGAATGGAAAGGCTGACTCTCCAAAAAAGCAGAAGTGAATTTTGCAAAAATCACAAAGAAGCATGGCTCCAGAGAAGAGACACAAGAAGACACCTCCACTACACCCCTTTGCAGAGGGGGAGGGCCACAACTAAAGGGCATTCCATACGTTTTCAGAATTTTCAATGTATTCATCAGTTTTGTTGATTTTTCTTCTCTTTTTTTATTTAAAAATATTTGTCTTATGGAGTGGTTCTCATAGAGGGGAAGGGGAAATTTTAGTGATGTAAAAAAGATTAATCAATTAAATTGATTATTTTTTTAACGAAAAAAGGATAGGACAAGGAATGTTCTCTGAGGAGGAGAAGGGAGAGGGATATATTTGGAAACAAATGTGATATGAAAACCAAAGATATGAAAAAGAAAATAAAGTCCAAAAAACTGCTAAATACTGCATTTTTAGAGACTGGTGCTATAAATAACTTAGTATCATTAAAAATTAAAAGAAGAAACAGCAATATGAAAGGATACTGGATAATTATAGCAGCTTAAACCCAACCCATTTAAACAACCAGTTGACTACAAAACATGAGAATTGGACAAAACTCATAGCACCCCAAAGTGTTCATCATTGAGGCTACCATGTATATAATTAAAGTATAAACCCAAAAGATTCCACAGAAACAGACAGTGGGAGGAAAGGCTCCAGCACATTGAGGGGTCTTCTGTGGGGGATTTATGAAAAGACAGGGGCAAAGATTAGAGATACTGAGAAGGAATGGATGAGTGCCCATGCATGCTAGCAGGGATCACCCTCCACTCTCCCACCCCCATGAGATCATGATTCCACTGAAGCGGTGAAGTGTCATGGCTGACGAAGGAGGAAAAACTCATCCTCTATTTCCCTTTGGCTTATCCCATTAACATCCTGAACAGATCTCAGTTCTCAAGGATTTCCTCTGAATCCTAGAAATCCTTTCCCTGTGCACACTCCTTCCAGAAAAAGAAGTCCTCCTCCTATGTACCTTGACATTGGAGTTTGTAGTTTAAGAAGTGCTGAAGGGGTCGCGACTGGAAAAAGTTTAAGAAGCCCTGGTCAAGAGTACCCTCCTGAGGGGGCAGCTAAGTGGCACAGTGGATAGAGCTCCAGCCTTGGAGTCAGGAGGACCTGAGTTAAAATGCGGTCTCAGACACTTGACACTTAGTAGCTGTGTGACCTTGGGCAAGTCATTTAACCCCAATTGCCTCACCAAAATGGAAAAAAAAAAGAGTACCCTGCTGATAATCTCTCATTGAGAATGCAAACCCCATGAGTGCTGGGACTGTGGGGTTTGGGGTTTGCATCTCTGGTGCCTGGCATCTGTCACATATTTAAGTTGAATCTGTGTAAAGCAATCCTGCTTGAGACCGTAAGTGTCCTGTCTATTTAGCCAGATATTGTCCATTAGCCAGATAATGATGTGCAAGCTAGTTGGTACAAAGGAAGGGCAATGTATTTGTAATTCAGCAATCAGCAAGACAACTTCTGTAAACAAATGTTTTAGCCATTAACCTTGGGGATGCTGGAGTTTCTTGGGCAGATGACCTGTTTCTGAAGTTTGTGTTGCCATGTACCCTCAGCTGAAGCTTTACTTCAGAAACTTGCCTTGTTTATTTCAGGTGATGAAGTTTCAGTGCACTATGACCCCATGATTGCGAAACTTGTTGTCTGGGCTGCCGACCGCCAAGCAGCATTGAAGAAGCTTCGGTACAGCCTTCACCAGTACAGCGTGAGTGACCAGGAGGCTCAATGTAACCAGCTCTAAGATTATTGTAGTGGCTTACAAAATAGTGGCATGGGACTTTTCTCCCTGTTAACTTAGTTCGTGGTCTAAGCTGTGCCCACAACCTCGTATGTGTCATGAGTCACAGACAGCATATTTCTGTACTGCAAAATGAAGTCTCAAAATTTCCAGATTTCGATTAGGAGAGAAAAGTTCTAGAAAGAAGGATCTCATTTAGGGTAGGAATTGTATGTTGATTGCCTCTTTTAATAAGATGCCTTATGAAATCCCAAGATATAGGTTTGCAGAGTTAAACTAAGAGGGGCATTTTTCCCCAGAAGAGAAAATAGTATGTCTTGGATACCAGTTGATGCCATTCATTTTGGAAGATTGTTTGCATTTCTCTAGTGTGTTACCTGATTACATCCAAAGGAGTTGGCTTCCTGAAAGGGTTTCTTTTTAGACTACTAACTGGAAAAACACCATATGATGGTGTTGGTTTGATTTGCTGTGGCAATTAGAACCCTAGCCCAAATGTCCAACAGCCACCTCCCCCCCGCTCCCGGGGTCTATGTCATGGTATCACGGATCTGTTGCTGGAAAGGGCCTCAGAGGCCATCTGTCACTGACATAGTGGGGTGACATTATGGGCAAGTCGCCGAGCTTTTTTATCCCATGCTTCAAGAAGCAAAGCAAAAAACTCATGAACTCAGATTCTTTAAAACGTTCTAACATAGAAATTAGAAGTAAGAGCGGGTAATGAATACGAGAGCCGTACAATCTGCTCATGCCCACAATTAGAAGACACTGATGTTGAACACTAGAGATAAAAGAAATGGCGTTTCCAAAATCTGTGTTGGTGAGAAGAAGACTGAACAAAGACGTAGAAGCACAGCAGACTAACTTCCCCTAAGGGCGCCTCAGCCTGAGAGCCCCACATGCAGCAGCTCTGCCCCAAAGCCACCTGGCCGCCAGCCACAGCTGCCAAGGACCCAGAGGAGGACGTCCATGCCGCCGAAGTCCTTGGCGTTGTCCGAGGGCTTACCGTCAGAAAGGGACGCGGGTTTTATCAGTAGAAATGACATGAAAGAAGATGGATTACCTTCACCAAAGGACCCCAGGTCCTTTCCATCTGGCCTGCCACTGGCATCTCTGTGGATTGTTTCCCCCATTTCCATGTGAGCTCCCTGAGAGTGGGGACTATCTTTTCCATTTGTTTCTCCAGCGTTTAGCACAGTGCTGTGCACGTAGCAAATACATTTTTTAAAAATGTCTTTTCGATCCTTCATTTCTGACTCATAGACTCCATCATTTCCTTCAGGACATGCTCAAGCCCTCCCTTCTACCCCAAGGATTTCCTGCTGCCACTTACTAGGGACCTCCTTCCATCTCTACTAGCCACCTTGTATTTATCTACTTTGCGTTAGTCTGTGTATACTTGGATACGGTTTTGTCATGGTTAGAGATCTGGCCTCAAAGCAAGAGAGATCTGGGTTCAAGGCTTGCTTCTGATCTGTGTAGGCTGTATGACTCTTGCGACCAAAGGGACCAAGATGTCCAGGACAGCTCTCTTCAGTCACAGAGCAGGTGCCAACCTGCACTGGCAAGGGGAGTGTCCTCACCAGGAGTTCTGTACACCAGCGACATCATGGTATTTATATGGGTACCTGTTGTCTCCCTTGAGAGACTGTAAGCTCCTTGAGGGCACGGACTGGTTGGTTTTTGTCTTTGTATCCCCAGTGCCTGGCACAGTGCCAGGCATGTGGTAGCCATTTGATAAATGCTGGGTGAACACATTGGTTGTGGCTAGTTTTCCACATCTGTGGTTTTCCCAGGCACTGCTTTGTCTAGGCCCTTAAAAGCATTTGGGCTTTGAACCTCATTGAAAGCTTGCGTGCTTTTCCCTAGATCACAGGCTTGAACACCAACATCGACTTCTTACTGAGTCTCTCCAGACACCCCGAGTTTGAAGCTGGCAACGTGCACACAGACTTTATCCCACAACATTACCATGACCTGCTCCCCCCTCCGAGTGCCACGGCCAAAGAGGTTTTATGTCAAGCTGTGCTGGGACTCCTCCTCCAGGAGAAAGTTGTGACCAATGCTTTCAGACTTCAGACAGAGGGTAAGGATTACTTTTCTCCTTCCAGCTATCAAGTTTGCATGAAACCAAGTCTGGGGAAACTTGCTTATTTTTTTTTCCATCATCTATTAATATAGGCGTTCTTCAGAATTATACAAGCCTTCCACACTTGATACTAACAGTGCTCATTCATCAAATAGAACCATGAAATAATAGAATCACAGCGTCAGAAGAGATTTGAGAGGTTGTCTGGTCTGGCTTCGGTCAGATTTGTAAAGCCCTTCTGCCTCTAAGAGCTGTCCTAAGAAAAGGGCCTTGAGGACTGTAAAGTGCCATCTTAGTATGAGCTGTGGGCAGCTGGTGCAGAATGGATAGGACACTTGCTAGCTATGTGACCCTGGGCAAGTCACTTCACCCTGTTTGCCCTAGTTCCTTGTCTGTAAAATGAGCTGGAGAAGGAAATGGCGAACTGCTCCAGTATCTTTGCCAAGAAAGCCCCAAATGAGTCACAAAGGGTCAGACATGACTGAAACAGCTGGACAACCAGAAATATGAGCTAAAATCCTTTCTGACCAATGGTTGTTGAGCCTCTACTCCATCCCCTCCAGAAACAGCCAGCACCATGTTGGAACAGAGCTCATTATTAGAAAGTTCTTTATGCTGACGTACAACCCACCTCCCCACAGTTGCCCTCTGCTACACCTCGTTCTGTCCTCTAGGGCTAAGCTGCATGAGTAACTCCCCTTCCCAGTATTTGGGGACAGCTTTCAACAGCCTTCCAAGGCTTCTCTTTGCCAAGCTAAATATCTCGAGTTCTTTCACATTCTTGATAATCACATGCCGCGATTTGGTGTCCCCTCCCCATCTCGGCTGCTCCTCGCTGGGCATGCTGCAGCTGGCGGCATCTTTTTTGAAAACACATAGCCCAAAGCTGAATACGGCCCTGCAGCTGCTCTCTGGCCAGCAGCTTCCATGTCGCTTATTCTGGACTCCATCCTTGGCTGAATGCAGCCTAAAAGCATGGTGAGTTTACAGCTTTGGAGGGCATCCATGCCGCACTCTTAGCTCATACTGAGCTCTGCAGGCAGCTAACCCTGGCCCCTTAGTCATGAATAGAATTGCATTAATATGACTATGTCTGAGCCACTCTCCAGGCAAGTCTGGACAGGTTCAAGTAGTTTGTTCCTGATTACATGGATGGATGGATGAATGAATGAATGAATGAATGAGTGAATGAATGAATGAATGAGTGAGTGAGTGAACGCAGTCTGCTCCAGCTCAGATGTTTTAGGACTGTAACAAAACTCTCGCCATATTGTCATTAGCACCTTGCTAGCATTTCGATGGGCCGTTTTTGTCATTTTTATAATCTCCTCAGACCATCATTTTGTCCCAAAGCATGCCGGCTACTGGCGATCACTGCTTCCTTCTCTAGGCCCTCGCCTACCATCCCTTCAGTCAGTCTTTTTAGAGTTTTGCTGAGAAGAGACATGAAGTTAATGTTACCCAATCCACCTTCTTCCTCATTTTCAAAGTTGGGCTATTTATCTGCTCCCCATCTTCTGGCGCCTTTCCCAGTCTCCACAGCCAGCAGCGTGTTCTTTAAGAACCCAGTTCGAGCAGCCAGATGGCCCCTTGCTGACCTCACTTAACCTTGGGCGTCAGTCCCTTAGCAAGAGGAGAAGGTTGATTTTCCCCTTTTCATTGTGAAGATCATTGACAGAGAAGGTGGAAACCAAGTTGAAGAGGCCCACTTTTCCTCTCCCCGCCATCATTTAACATTGCACCATACCCTCAAGTAGCCTGGGCACATAAGTAAAATGTCTGGGGTGGGGCCTCCCCTTCCCCCTTCCCCCCCCCACCCTTTTTGTGCTTAACACTGTTTGTGAGCCTCAGCTCACTGTGTACTTCACTATGTATGTCACACTTGGGATCTGGACTCCCAGCTCTCCACCTGCTGGGCATAGGCTATGTCACCTCAGCCTCTGTGGGCCTCGCTTTCCTCATTTCAGAATGAGGGGGCCAGACTCGATGACCCTCGGAGCCCCTTTGGGCTGTAGGTCCTCTGGTGCCCATAGATCAGGGGTTAAGGCAGGGACACTGGAGAAGGAGCCACTTGGCTCCTGCCTTTACTTCACAAGGGTCCTCAGCGTGATGGCTTTCAGGACATTGAATGCGCACTGTTGACCTGGCCCTTCTTTCTTCTTGCCGGTCAGGGTCTTCACAACACAAAGAGTAGGGCTTAGTATCATTTCTAGAACCTGTTTCTTGGAAATCTCATTTGTTTCCTGTACCTTTTTAAGGACTTTCTGCTCTTTAATTTGTGACTTTTTACAATTTTCCAGATCAGGTCTCACCTTTTGCGTCCAGTAGTGGAAGAAGATTAAATTTCTCTCACACTAGAAACATGACTCTTCAGGATGGGAAAAACAGTAAGTAACAGGGGCAGGGGAAGCCTGAGCTTCCGTGCGCTTCTGAGCTAAGGAGAAGAGTTGCCCTTGTCAGCACCATTCCAAGCAGACACACGCTCTGGGTCTTCACCGCTAGGAATGCTGAAAAGCAGCTAAGCTCTAGGACTGTTAAGTGCCTGCTCTGCACCAGTAATGACAGGCGGGCAGAGCCATGCAAGGAAAAGAGGGTTAGTTTGGGAATCGGAGGACCTGGGCTTGAGTCACAGCTCTGCCGCTCTGCTCGCCTGACCTCGGGCAGACACCTAACTTCCCTCACCTCAGCTTCATCTGTAAAATGACAGGGTTCACTCAGTGGTCTCCACGGTTCATTCCTGCTATAAGTCTTACAGTCTTGTGATTCATTTTACTTAGTGCAAAAAAACTTTCCGCGCCGTAGCCCTGTGAGGTGGGTAGTATAAGTATAATTATTGTACAGATGAGGAAACTGAGGCACAGTAAAGTAATGCAGCTGTGGCCTCGCAGACAGTGGACGAGCCCTTCGGCCACGTGCCCGGCTTCTCTGGGCCCATTGTCTGCAGCATGTGTCCCGAGGCTCAGCTCTGGGCACACTGCAGCCTCTCTGGCATCATTTTGTACACTTTCGTTCTTCGTGCCCTCCTCTTCTGGTCCACCCTGGTTCCCTTCGTTGCATGTTGGGTTTGTGTCCTTTAAAATCACAGTGGGTCAGAGCCCTCCCTCAGCTTCTTCAGGTTCTCAGAGGCTGCCCCTTTTTCTTCCTCATTGGGAACAGGTGAGGGGCTGCTGAAAGAAAGGACAGTGGGTAGTGATCAGCTGCAGATCCTGATTGATTGACTGATTGATAATGCCAGTTCTCTAAGCCCAGGTGACTGGCAGAATAGCCATGCTGTGGTCTGGCACAGAATACGGGGAGTTTGGTTTTAGACGTGTGGAACTCGAGGCACCTGGCCATATCCAGGGGGCAGTGTCCTGCCAATGATTGGAGAAATCAGTTTGAGCATCCTCTACATATGGCTAATAGGTCATAGTGTCATAAATCTAGAGCTGGTTAGGCCCTCCATGGCCATCAAATCCAACCACCTCATTTTACAGATGAGGAAACTGAGGCCCTTACTGGGAAATGCCTCGCCCTAGGTCACCCAGGGAGCGACTGACCCCAAGTCCAGTGTTCTTTCCAGTTGTCATTCTTCAGAGAAAACGTAGGCCACCTTTACCTTCTCTGTGGCCTAGAAAGTCCATGGTTGTGCTGTCTAGGGGCAGAATCATTGAAATGCAGACTGGAAGGCTCGTTTTACACAGAGCCAACGGAGGCCTAGAGAGAGGGTCCCAAAGTGCCCAGTGAGTTAGTGGCAGATGACAATCCCTGGTGTCAATACCTTAATTGATGTGTTTTCCTTCATCAGAAGAAAAAAAATTAGAAAAATCCCCCTGATCCAAATCACTCTTTGAACAAAGAATGTCAGAGAGACTTTTCGCTGCCCAGCAAAGAGAGCACCAGACGAGGGCTCAGGGAGTCGGGATTGATAGCCCACGCATAGCACTCCCTCAGTGTCTGACTTTGGGCAGAGCCAGAGATGAGTTCTCTGGGTCTGTTTCTTCATCTGTGATAACCGGAGGATGATTTCTAGGGTCCCTTCAGGCTCCAACTCTCTTGACTTTACCGTGTCAGTGTGCTCTTTGCACATGTAAGAGAAACCCTCATCTCAGTTTTTACTGGCTTTATCCATCAGGAATAAGGAAGAGGCATCCATGCCCCCATGAAAATAGCAGTGTTTTTTAGCAGAGAGACTTTTGCTTCTTTATCATTAAGTTAACAAATTCCTTTTTGAAATGACTTTTCTCATGTTTTCTTCTCGTTCCTAGAGGTGGCCATCGCTGTAAAGTACAATCGGGACGGGTCGTACAGCATGCAGGTACAGCCTCTGGTTTTGTCAGAAGGATCCTCTGTCAGATTGAGTGTGGGTCTGACTAACCGTAGTCATTGTTTCCCTGAGCCATTGCCCAGGCACTGTTATTCCAGGCCAGCTTCTGGAAATTAGTTCTGTATCATTTGATTCTTTCTTTTGTGTGTCCAGCTTAGCTGTCACTCTTTCATAATGGAAATTGAGCAAAGCCGCGTGCTCAGATCTGAGATAATCTCCTAAGCCCGACACACAAAGGCCGCCACCGGGTGTCTCTGAGGACGACGGCTGCGCCGTTGTTGGCATTTTGGGAGGAGCGCATCTTTTCCAGTTGTAAATAGGCAGCAGGCAAGGTCTGCTCATCTCTGAGCAAGATTGGCCAAGGCAAGAGGAAAATTTTAACAAAATACCCACAAATTCAAATTTAGGGAAAAGAATCAAACAAGAAGGCTCATTGGTTGATAGAGTAAGGGCATCTTCTTCTAGCGAGATCTGTCCCTCTGTCACATGCTTGAGTGGTGCTTGCCATCCTTCCAGATGCACAACTTGTCTACGAACCTTGGTACCGATTGACTTTACTTCTCTAAAAATGAGAAATTAGAATAATGTATGCAGGGTGAATGTGAAAGGCACGTGCTGTCTCTGCTGGGTCTCCTGCTGGTTCTTTCCATGATGCATTCAAGCAGGGGGATAGGGGGATCACAGACTTCTGCCAGTCTGCTTATAGAGATACTGTCATTGTTTGTCACGTATATTGTCACTATATATTTGTCACTTACATCTCCACTTGTGAGCTTAAAATGACTTCAGGAGATAGTGGAGAATAGAAGGGCCTGGCGTGTATGGTCCATGGGGTCACGAAGAGTCAGACACCACTGAATGACAACAACTTTTATCCACTCTCCAGTCTGGTATCACTTACTATTACATAAATACTCATGTGATTGGTTGATTGGGAAAAAGAGAAAAATACACTCTGTCTAGCATTATGTTTCATCAAGAGGGTATTGGGATATCAGTAAATAGGTCAGAGATGAGCAGATCTCTCTCCACACGCCCTACATTCCAGCCAGGCTGGTCTGCAAGCTGTTCCCCAAACTCACCCTGCTGCTCTTCCTCTCCAGCCTCAAAAGTGCACTTTCCTCATCGCCTTGTCTTAGAATTACTCACTTCTTTCAAAGCTCAGGCCGGGTGCTGTCCTCTCCAGGAAGCCTCTCCTCCTCCACCCAGCCATGTGTGAGATCGTATTGCATTTACTTCTCTGCGCCCAAGGTCTCCCTCCAGTGGAATCCAAGCACTCCAAGGGAAGGAGCTTTCATTTTTGTCTTTGACCTCCAGCATGGGCACTTGAGAAATGTCTGTTAAATTGGATTGAATTGGATTAACAACATATGGCAGACCTTTATTGCAAAACCGCTAGACAGCCCTGCCTTAAAATCATGCTGCCATTCAACCAGAGGAACTAAACTCGCCAGTGTTGTGTCATGATGCCCTCTGCCCTGGCTGACAAAACCTTCAACCCTTGTGAGGGCACCTTGTTGGCAGGCTGGCTTTTTGTCCTAGAGACAGTGATAGAAGAAAGGGCAGTCACTGCAGTCATCCAAGGCATGGGAGATGGGAGAAGGCTGTGTCGAGCTTTAGGCGGTGATGAGCTTCACGGACAGTGATGCCCGTCATGCTGCCACTGCCGTGGAAGGCAGATAATGTCTCTTTTCTCTCTTTCTGTCCACAGTGGCTAGCATGTTACCGGGCACAACTGCTTGTTAATAGTTTGATTTGCGTATTTGAGTTGGTATTCCATAGCAGACGCTATCTTCACACCACATGGTGAAGTAAAAGCACTTTGTTTGTGGAGCACAAATGAAGGACTTGACTTGGGAGCATTTGAGACTGTCCTCCAAGAAGGTGTCTCTTTCCTTGTTTACATTCAGACAAGATTCTTTGATCATTGCAACCACAGTGGTCACCTTGTTTCATGGTCCTCTGGTTACTACTGTCAAGGAAAGCAAAATATGGGGAAATGTTGGCTGACCAAAGAATTTTGCCACCAGCATGGAGGAGGACCTGTGCGAAGTAGAAATGGTGACGTTCTCCAGATGCTGCCAGAGGCAGCGGGTGATGTAGTGGGTACAGCACCAGGCCGGAATCAGGAAGAACTTTGTTCAAACCCAGCCTCAGGCATCTGACTAGCTGTGTGACCCTGGACAAATCACTTGACCTGTTTGCCTCAGTTTCCTCAGCAGTAAAATGAGGTCATAATAATATCTACTTCCCAGCATTGTTTTGAGGATGAAATGAGAGGATAAAATCGTTAGTGGTAATAATAACACTGCTATTATAATTAATATAATCAGTATTATTACCTCTAATGATTGTATTAAATATATTAATTATAATAGCAGTATTTATATAATGCTTTTAGGTTTGCAGAGCACTTTACAAATATGATCTCATTTGATCTTCAAGTCATTATTATTTAGGACAGCTAGGTCACTCAGTGGATAGAGCACTTAGCCAGAAGTCAGGAAAACTCATTTTCATGAGTTCAAATCTGGCCTCAGACACTTCCTACTTGTGTAACTCTAGGCATGTCACTTAACCCTGTTTGCCTTAGTTTCCCCATCTATAGAATGAGCTGGAGAAGGAAATGACAAACCATTTCAGTATCTTTGCCAAGAAAATCCCACATGGGATCACGAAGAGTCGGACATAACTGCAAAACGACTAAACAAATGATTGTCACACTTCTTTTGGTGATGCCATTTGACTGGTGGCATCTATCCTCAGAACATCACAGAGGCTCCCATTGGAAAGAGCTAAAGTCACTCAGAAGAATTCAGCCTAACTCTACACACAAGGGAAAAACAAATGGAGGAGGAGGAGCAAGATGTGGATTGCATTTGGGAATCATGCAGCAGTTTCACCAGCCTCCCGACACCTCCTTAAAACAAAACCCTGTTCTTTAAACACCAAGATTCTTCGGGTGACGCTGTATGGCTAGGACTTATGGAAGACCACAGTCTTCAAGGAATCCAAAGGACAAGTGACACAGTAGGTCTAAGAAGGTTACAGCATATTTCTGAGAATAAATTTATCCTGGAACATGGTTCTAAAGATACTATTAGAGAGCTGTCTGACCAAGGAAAAGATGGGCTGATCACGTGGTAGATGTGCAGATTGTATGCTGCTGCATTAATACCTGTGTAATTTCAGGAGGTCCAGTGAAGACTCTGAGTACCTTGGGGGAAGCCCTGGGGAGGGGAATCATCAAAGAAGAGGGACAGGAGCCCACAGGGTGTGAGCTGTGAGTGGGTAGTCCACCCTACTGGAGGGCAGGCCCACACTGGTGTTAGTGTGGGTTGAAGTGAAGAATGGCCCGGGGACCTACCCCTTCCTTTAGGATTGATGGTGCTTCTATGTGAATAATTCTCTGATGGACCTTATAGGGTATGACCCAATTGATTGACACTTTCTGGACCAACAGTGAGTTTTTTCCATAAATGGAATCCTTTATGAGCAGCGAGCTAGTTTTGGAGTCTTAGATTTCTGGAGCAGTTTCACACCAGCCTGGGACGCCAGGGGATCCTACCTTTGCATCAGCCTGCAGATTTGAGTGAAGGAAGTCACAGTTGGGGGGGGGGTGGACCAAAGCATGGTCCAGGGTCCAGAGGTATTGACAGCTCAGAGCTGAGAGGATTCCACATCACTCCTCCAGGTTTGTGGACCAGCTTGTGGTCGCTTAGCTTAGGGAGTACATGGAAGGTCTAGACTTTCCCTTAGGAAACAGCCCCATGAGAATCTTGGGCTCAGCGCCAATTGCAGAGAAGGTGCTGAAGGGAGGGGCCTCCCTCAGCGGCATAGGGGGCTTCTCTGTCCTACTCCGGGCTTTCGCCTGATGGGCGATGATGGTTTGGAGGAGTAAGCAGCTTGTGCGCTGATGGGCTTCATGGTTAAGCGCTGGAAAAAGAAGGATCCCTGGTTTATGTCGATCAGAATGACCAGCACAACGTTGGGCCAGTAACACCCTGACGTTCTGAAAAGCGTCTTCATCTCGGTGAGCACAGCGGTGCCATGGAACACCTTGGTGCCCACGGCAAGGAAGGGGCTCATCAGCTATTGTTTGGTTTGCTTTGATTTTTCAGAAGGAAAGCTTGGTGGGAACTGACTACCCCTAGGAAGACTTGAGGAGACTCTGTGTTGTGGACAGAGAACAGTTTGTTTGCAGAGTAGAATACGTGAGAGGGAACAATCTGTAGCCCCAAGAGTTCAGCTAGAGCCAGATTTTGAAGGCCTTTAAATGCCGTGTAGAGGAATTCGGATTTTGTCCTAAGGTATAAAGGGAGACACTGAAGCTTCCTCAGCAGAGGAGGGCCATGGTCGGACCAGTGTGGTAGGAATATCAATTTGGCGGCTCCGTGGAGGCCAGACTGGAAAGACTGGCAGTATTCCATTGATGCCACAGCTGCCGTATACTTTGGGGACGTAGCGGCTGTGAGGGGTATTATTCGGCCTTCGTTGTCTCAGAGGACCATTGCAGGTGACCAACAGACCAGGGAAGGAATCTGCAGAATGTTACTACCCCAGGGAGGGCACCGTGGTCAAGACATGCACTTGGGAAAGGAGAGACTGATAATGGCAGGCACAAAGGCTGAGTGCCGCCCTGGCATCGAAGGACCCAAGCTGGAAGGCCCTGTGGGCTGGATTCTCTCTGGAGGATTTGTGGAAGGGAGACACAGAAGTCGCACAGGAAGAGGAAGGGTGGAAGGCCCTGATTGGCACGGCGGAGAGGATTCTTCGGAGGTCGGAGAGCCACTGAAGCATGGAAGCATGGATGTGTTTGTAGTCAGCACAGCGTCCTTCCAGTCAGGGCTCATCAGGAAGTCAAGGGACCCCTCCAAGCAGCCACTGAGCGCCGGCTCCGCCTGCTCTGGTGCCAGGCTAGAAGATGTAAGGCATTCCTTACCAGTCGCCCTCTCCAGTGGCCTCATGTTCATCTTTCATCCTTGTTACCGGGCAGGGTGACCCATGGGTACCAGTCAAACAGGCACAGGACAGGGAGGGCAGTCTTGTTACACGCTCACTCCAGACAGACTCCTTAACCTCACTGCAGGATACAACGTTAGGAAAGCAAAAGAAATACAAACACTTAACAGTTTCCAGCACGGTGCCCCCAGGCTGCATGATGGAAGGCCTGAGAACCTATGCATAAATACCTCTGTGTCCTCTTTCACCTTCCTCTGTATAACATGCATTTTTAAAGAACAGCCTGGAGCAGCTAGGTGGCACAGTGGATAGAGCACTGGCCCTGAAGTCAGAAGGACCTGAGTTCAGATCTGGCCTCAGACCAAACACTTGACACTTAGTAGCTGTGTGACCCTGGGCAAGTCACTTAAACCAAGTTGCCTAAAAATTAAAAAAAAAAACACAAAGAACAGCCTTGGGAATTGTACTTCAGGAGCGTGTGAACTGAAGTGGAAAGTGTACTCACCAATGCCAGATTGTTTTTACATAACCAAGGAGCCTTTTTCCTTGCATTTCTGTGTATAAAGGGAGGAATATAGATATAGATAGACACATGCATACATACATATTGTTGTTGTTTTGTGTCGTGATGCCGTGGCCCACAGCCCACCAGGCACTTCTGTTCTCCACTATCTCCTGAAGCATATCCAAGCTCATGTTTGTTGTTTACATGACGCTACCTATCCATCTCATCTGCTGCCATCCCCTTTTCTTTTTTGTACTTAGATATACACACACATACACGCATATACAAGCATATTTACCAGTATATGTAAAGTTTTGTGTAGTTCTAATAAACGATAATAGCTGACACTTACGTAGCACTTTAAGGTTTGCAAAATGCTTTTAAAATATCTCATTTTATACTTACAACAACCCTGGGAGGTAGGTGCTATTTTTGTCCCTATTTTGCCAATGAGGAAACTGAGGCTTGCTCATGATCACACAGCTAGTGTCTGGGGCTGGATTTGAACTCAAGTCTTCCTGACTCCTCTATCCACTGCCCCACCCAGCTGCCATAATAAAATTATAGGTATTTTAATTACTTTACAAAATTATTACATGTTTACATAACAAAATTATATGTACATATGTTTAAGCAAAATAATCTTGCCTTTTGCCTTCTCAGAGTAAAGAAAGTTTGGCCATTGTCCACATTTCATTCTCCAGGATCAGAGCAGAAAATGGTGGAATGGGTCTGTGTGACTTGAATGTTCTTTGGACACTATACATGGAATAGTGTCTAGAGGACTAAACTCCTTTCATCACATTTTGTCTTTGTTTATAACTCCCTTTGTCTGCACGCACAAAGTGGGCCAAACATGTGACTTTAGACACTTAGAGTTACTGATCAGTTTTACTCCCAGTTGAAAGTTATGTGCCCTGTCTCTTTGGGGAGATGATAAATAGTCAAAGGATATGAATAGACAGTTTTCAGATGAAGAAATTAAAGCTATCTGTAGTCATATGAAAAAATACTCTAAATCACTATTGATTAAAGAAATGCAAATTAAAACAACTGTAAGGTACCACCTCACACCTATCAGATTGGCTAATATGAAAAGAAAAATGATAAATGTTGGAGAAGATGTGGGAAAAATCGGAATACGAATGCATCGTTGGTGGAGTTGTGAACTGATCCAGCCATTCTGGAAAGCCAAAGGGCTGTAAAACTGTGTATACCCTTTGATCTGGCAATACCATTACCCCAAAGAGATCATACAAATGGGAAAAGGACCCACATGTACAAAAATATTTATAGCAGCTCTTTTTGTGGTGGCAAAAAACTGGAAATTGAGGGATGCCCATCAATTGGGGAATGGCTAAGCAAGTTGTGGTATATGAATGCAATGGAATACTATTGTGCTATAAGAAATGATGAGCAGGCAGACTTCAGAAAAACCTGGAAAGACTCGTATGGTCTGATGCTGAGTAAAGTGAGCAGAACCAGGAGAACATCATACACAGTAATAGCAACGTTGTGTGATGATCAACTGTGATAGACTTAGCTCTTCTTAGCAATACAATGACAAATTGCATACAAAAACAGTTCCAAAAGATTCATGATGAAAAATGCTGTCCACATCCAGAAAAAGAACTATGGAGTCTGAATACAGATCAAAGCATACTGTTTTCACCTTTTTTGTTTGTTTTTCTTTCTCATAGTTTCCCCCTTTTGTTCTGATTCTTCTTTCACAACATGACTAATGTGGAAATGTGTTTAATATGATTGTACATGTATAGCCTATATCAGATTGCATGCCATCTTTGGGAGGAGAGGAAGGAGAAAAAAAATTGAAACTCAAAATCTTATAAAAGTGAATGTTGAAAACTTCCTTTACGTGTAATTGAAAAAAATAAAATACTGTTAAGTAGGGGGGAAAAAAGCTTTGGGGAGAAAACAAGCCATGTAGGATCCTAATGCCAACATGACTGCCATAACAACAATGTTATAGCTGTTTTGTTAAAAAAAAAATTTCTGTTATGTTTCAGATTGAAGATAAAACTTTCGAAGTCCTCGGTGACCTTTGTAATGAAGGAGACTGCACATACCTGAAATGTTCCGTTAATGGTATTGTTAGTAAACCTAAACTGATTATCTCGGAGAGCACCATCTACCTGTTTTCCATGGTAATCCTGCTTTTTTACAATCCTATGCTTGGGTTTGTGAGGACACTGGCATGACCCTAGCATTCTGCTGAGAGAGAGGGACTAGCTTCCTGCATTTGCATTTCCTCTGTGTACTCCGCTTCGTTCATTTCCTTTGCCCTCACATTTATACTCATATGTACATCCTTTTATATATACTGATCTACTTCCTTTATATTTATTCCCCAAACCGTCTCTGCTAGCCCAGTCATATGTATGCCTTCTTTCCCTTTCGTGCATACATACATACAGAGACATATTCCAGCTACTTCCCTGTAATTGTCCATGGTTTTCAAGATGGCTGTGAGGGAAGTCTGGAAGATGAGCTTAGAGAATAGTATTTCTTGTGCCCAGGGAATAGGAGCTTGGTAACTGGCAGCGGAGGAGCTGACTAATGTTGGTCTCCTTCAGCAGAGAGACGTAGGGATGGAGGAAAAGGCATTTTCCATGGACAGTGGTTAGGTTCTTCATTTGGGGACTAGCCCCTCGATACAGCTTTCATTTCAGTCATTTTATGTACACAGAGGAATAGGCAGTAGTTAGCATGTCACTTAGAAGCTACTCGATTTCCATGGCTTGCCTTAGAATCAACTATAAGGGAGACCATATTGTAATAAGGTCGTTTTGATATGTCTTAAAAGAAGAGAGAGAAGTGGATTTTCTTATCTCTTCAAAGGGCTACTTTTCATAGTCAAATTGAATAGGAAGGTTTCCTCCATCATGTATGTTAGTTTTAAATAAATATGACTCATGCTCTAAGAATGGTTTTTATACATTTAAATAAGGTCTTATTGTATTTAAAAAGTAAAAACAAGCAAACAAACAAACAAACAAAAAAACAGGGCAGCTAGGTGGTGCAGTGGATAGAGCACCAGCCCTGGAATCGGGAGGACCTGAGTTCAAATCTGGCCTCAGACACATAACACTTACTAGCTGTGTGACCCTGGGCAAGTCACTTAACCCTATTGGCTAGCCAAAAGAAAAAACCAAGACAAAACAACACTCTTCATCCAAAAACACGTAGCCAGAATGATTTGGCCCTTGGCCAGAATACTTTGACAACCCCTGCTCTAGACAAAAAAATCATCACCAGTGATCAGGCTAGGGATGAACTGAACCAGGCAGGTTAAAATTAGCCTCCTATGTGGCTCATTTGCTCCCCAAAGCTTTTGACAACTATGTTAAAATACAAAGATATTCCAACAGAACCATGTAACTTCACGTTTTCCCTACAAGTACATCCGTGATTCATATTATCTGAAACTAAAGACTGTGTGCAAACATTAGAAGGATACTTAGGAAAGAAATCACAGTCCCTCGTCAGACCCATGGAAAGGTTGGAAAGCTTGGTAGGGCCAAGCACAGCCTGTATTCCATTGGCACAGCCTTGGAGAAGGTGAGAAGGTTGCCTCTGTGCCTGAGTGAGGCATCAGACGAGGACTCTCTTAGCAGAGGTACAACATGTAATGTACATTAAAAATTACTCATGTTTAAGTAGTACTGTAAAAATTGTGGACCAGAAACCAGCTACCTTGTATGCATCAGTAAAGATGAAATAACCGAATCTGAAGTGGTTTTAAGGTGTTGACTTTGGTTTGGGCTTGTCTGTTTGTTTGTAGGGAGGCAGTGCTCAGATTGGCATCCCAGTGCCTAAATACTTATCTTCAGCACATACTGAAGGAGTACAGGGGAGTGCCCTTGCACCGATGACTGGGACAATTGAGAAGGTAATCAAGCAAAGTGTGGAGGTGGAAAATGAGGCCTAGTGAGACACTTCCTTCCTGTTTATCAAGGTGTATCCATAATGCTGGCCCTCTTCTGACCCCTCAGATAAGCGTGGGGAACTGTGAAAGAGTGAAGCCAGCAAATCGTGGGATTAATGCTGTTTTCTGAATATGGGTATTTCCTTTCAGATGATAAACAATCCAAACTTTTCTTTATTTTTTAAGCAGTAAAAGATATAAAGAACCTGGAATTTTCCCAAAGAGTTCATTTTTTTCTTTTCTTTGAATGCTTTTTTTTTACTTTTTAATTTTTATGGCTATCTTTTTTTTTCTTTCATTTCCAAATATATCCCTTCCACTGTATCCTACCCGGGAAACCATCCTGTAACAAAGAATAGAAAAAAAGGGTGGAAAGGTTCATCAAAACTAATCTACACATCAGTTGAATCTAACAGCATATGCAGTATCTTGTACCCATAGTCCCTCACTTCTGAAAAGAAAGAAGAGAGGCAGGCCTTCTTATCTCTTCAAGGGACTATTTTTCAGTCAGATCAAACGGAAAAGGTTTCCTCCAACATGTACACTTTAAATAATCTTTAACACTTTAAAAATAATTTTGAAAACATTAGTACAACTGAAGGTAACGTAATTATGTCTTGAGATCATTGTATCATCGAGGTTGAGATCTGTGGTAACATCACTTCCAAACATGGCCACTGCCGAGTCCCCTTTGTTGAGTCCTGACTTGTTCTGGGGGAGTCTCTCATAATTCTTGAGCTCACTGAGCAAGAGTCTTTTTGTAGTGTTTGCAGAAGAGAGAGTAATGGAGAGGTTCATCTGGGCTTGCAGAAAACTCCGTTTTGTCTGTAGGAGGCTTCCCCATGCATAGATCTCGGATGAGGAGAGTTTGGAGAACCCCAGAGAAACCAGCCTCCGGGTCCTGGGGTTCTTTGTCTGCACCCCCAGACTCTTGGCAAAGGGCTGTCACATCCAGCTGCAGGCCCTGTTGGTGGGGCTCCCCTGGGCACAGCTGCAGCTCTGCAGGCGGCTTTGTGGTACTGTGGAGGGCACACCATCAATTCTCCAGGCTATATACAAACTAACCTAGACCCACCCCTTAATTAGGAGGGGAATAATTAGATGTCATCATATCCTGCACTTGTCTGCATGTTTACTCTGCATCATATTTGGATGTCCGAAATAATCTTTGAGGTGGATTTAGTCGAGGGCAGGTATGGGGAACAGTGCTAGGGACTACAGTGGGAAGGGAACTCTTGGTGTACTCAAATAGTCCTCCCCCAGGTAAAATTCTCAGTCTTCCCCTCTGCACCTATGTATCCAAGTCTGCAGAAAGACAGATAGTCGATGCTCTGCAGAGGCACCCTTTGTTTGTCTGGGGGATGCTCAGGGCTCTCCAAAAATGTGGGGCCTTGGGGCTTGGTATTGTGTTTGCAAAGGAATTTCCCATTTTAATTGTACCTACTTAAATTCTAGGTATTTGTGAAAGCCGGAGACAGAGTAAAGACTGGTGACATCTTGATGGTTATGATAGCTATGAAAATGGAGGTGAGTGTAAGGAAGTGATCACCTACTCAAGATGGTGAAGGACGTCAGCCCAGTAAAAAGTTCTCTGGCTCTGGCGTCAGAGGATCCAGAATCAGATGTCACCTCTGACGTCTGGCACCTGGTGGCCTTCGGCATGTCCCTCATCCTCCCTGGAGCTCAGTCTCCTTCTCTGTAAAATGGGGAGGGGGGAATTTGAGGACCTCTGAGGACCCTTTCAGCTCCAAATCTAAAATGAGAGGCAGCCAGCAAGACCTGGATTCGAGTGCTGCCCTTGACACATGGCCATATGACCCTGGACAGGTCACTGACCCTCCAAGTGCTCCCTCCAGGTAGCTCTCTTGCTTCAGCAGCCCCTATCTGAATAAAATCACAGGGCCAGTCCTACCCTGCACTGAACCAGATTTTTCTGGGGTTGCCAAACTATTTTTGCCTTATATTTTACCTTTTAGTAGAACCTTAAATACTGTAAGCACCTATCACTTGAAGAGTCCACTTGATAAAACAAAGCAGCATAAATGTTTGATCTTAGTATGTTGGCCTTTTTACGTTTGTTAAAATCCATTCGTCACCTTGGCTTCTGAAATGACTAAAGTTATCCCTAGATTGTAAATAGGCAGTAGCCTGCCAGACTTTTTCCTCCTTGGCTTTCCACATTTGATTTGCTTTCAAAATGAGCAAGGTTTGTGCCAGATTGAGGATGCCCAAGCATGGGAGAAAGAGAAAAATCAAGTCCATTTTTGAAACAGCCACAGGTATGAGGATGTTTGAGGTTGTGGAGACAAACATCCAGGTGATTGGCTGGTTTTTCATCTCAGAGTTTTGGCCCAGCATCAACGCGCCCCTCCTTTGTGTCATGACTACCAGGGCTGGGGGAGGTGCCAAAGCGTGACCCTGACGACTACTTGTGGTCTCCTTTCTCTGCAGCATACAATTAAGTCCCCAAAGGACGGCACAATCAAGAAAGTTCTCTTCAAAGAAGGTTCTCAGGCCTGCAGACATGCTTCATTAATTGAGTTTGTGGAAGAGGAATCGGATGAAGCCTAATCCAAATTGAATCCAGGCAGGAGATCTGATGCTAAATAATTTCTTGCTTGTCTGCACCAAATACCAAGTGCCTTCCTGCTTCCCTAGGAGCTGTGACGAGTGCGCTTTTATCCATCGACAGTTTGGTTTCCGTTGTTCTTTTATAATGAAAATCATGCAGTTGGGCCTTCAACATTATAAGCTGACATAAAATGTTTTAAATTAATAAAAATTAAACTAAATTTATATAAACAGGAAGGGAAACGGCTTCACATTTTTCATTTTGTAGACTTTTGAGGGAGGGAAGGAGGCAGGTCATGATGGAAAGAAACTGGGTGAAAGTAAAGTGCTGTCCTTCCAAATTGTCAGACTGCAAGTAGACAGCTTCAGACCCTTCCAAACGTTAGGTGGCTTCTGTCTGGCTCACTCACGGTCATATTCTCGCCATGGGATAGCTGCTTGTTTATATGAAAGATAGGGTGATTTATTTTCTGTATTTGTGATTTGGGGGCTTCCATTCAGGCATCCTAGCTTTCCCTTACTCATTGCACTTTGTGTTTCTTAAAATACAAATACTTATATTTGAATGGATTTTGGATCTGGGTGCACAGATGCCAGGCCAGATCCCAAACCCTTGCCATTGCCCCATTGCCCAATAATTTTTCCACTTTACAATCTCATGTTTGATTTTGGAGTATTTCAAAACAGAAAAAATGGTAAAATATTATTTCTAATTTAATTGTTTAATCAGCGACTAATAAAAAAAAATATATATATATATATATATATATATATATATTTGTATTAAGGAAGAATCTGAGAAATACTGGATTAGGAGACTGGAGATCTGGTCTAGTCCTGAATCTGCCACTGCCATCTCACTGATTTCTCTGAGTCTCGGGTTCCTGTCTCCAAAATGAAAGGGCTAGATTAATGATTTCTGAGGTCCCTCCCAATGCTCATATTCCTTCGTTTTTGTGCTTTGCATCTTTATGAATGATCTCGTTTTGTCTGCATCATTGGCCAAAGTGAACTTTCTGTTTTTCCTGATTCCTGGACATTTTACACGTAACATTTTCTGTTTGTTATGCAGTAACTTTATAAGAAGTTGACTGAATCTGGGGGGCGGGGCATGGTAAGCTATTAAATATTATAAATATACTGCCCTTTGAGTTGTGGTTCAGTCCGCTATCTTAGAAAATGATGGCCAATAAAATTTTCAAATGGAAGAAAGAAATGCTTATATTTAGAGGAAAAAATGTGACTTCTTAAAAAGAAAAAAATATTTCACCTGTTTTCACAAATAAGTTTATAAAAGGCAATGCCCCACCATTCCCATACACCAGAATGTTTTATCCTGAGGTGGGGAAAAACTTTAAGCAGTTTTATGGTGCCTTAAGTACTAGTTTAAAATTTTCCCTCCAGCACTCATATCAAAAATTTTCCCCTTACCCACCCACACTAAGTGATCTTGACCCCTACATCTGCATGCGTTTGGTAGGTCTTCTCTAAACACCCGCTAGGTACATCACATTGTGTGCCCCCACGCCAGGGAGAGAAACTGAAGACAGTCCCTGCCCTTGAGAAGCAGATAGCCGCAAAATCAGTATCTCAGAATCATAGAATCTGAGCTGGAAGGGACCTCCTCCAGCCTGTACCAGTAGCATGATACAAAACAGCATGTTAGACCATTATTATTATAATTCCTAGAATCAGGAAGGGCTGGTATTCACCCACCTGGAGAATGTTTGTATCAGATAGTGGTTTTCTGGGTGACGGACCAGGAGGAAACTAGAGGTAAGGAGACGAGTTAGATAGATGAGGAGGAAGTGATGAGGGTCTTGGGGAAAACAGGATTCTCCCTTTCTTCCTTGCTGGTTCTCGAAGGAAGGCAGAAGCATCTAAGTTAGAATCCTGCCTCTGGCTTTTCCTTTCTGTGTGAACGGTGGCAGGTCACTTAACCTCTCTTGAAACTTTCTCATCTATAAAGTGGAAACAATACTATCTGTGGTACCCACTGAGACAGCTGGGTGGTGCAGTTCCTGTAATGTTGCACGTGGAATCTGGAAGACCTGAGTTCAAATCCAACCTCAGATTCTTTGCTGAGCAAGTCAGCTTCTATTTCCACATTGATAAATATGGGGATAATGCGAGCATCTACCTCACAGGGCTGGTGTGAGAGTCAAATGAGATAATACGTAAAGTTCTTTGAAAACTGTTAAGTACTGTATAAATACTACTATTATTATTAGTTCACAAGGTTTTCGTAAGGTTCATGTAAGGCTATATACATATATATGTATTACATATGTAATATATTCTATATTAAATATATATCATTGTTGTATATTATGTTTTATATTAAATATATGTTTATAAAACATTTTGCAAACCTTAAAGCATGTAGTTCTCAAAATGTTATCTGTGGACCCCTGGGGTTTCCCAAGACCCTTTCAGGGAGTCCATGAGATCAAAACTATTTTCATAATGATACTGAGATGTAATATTTGCCTATCAAAATATTCTTCCTTTTCCCACTGCATGTCTGTATGAGGCCAGATTTTATTTATAGACTTCAACCAAAACAACATATCACAGCAGACTGAATGCCAAAGCAGATAGGAGAATCCAGCTGTCTTTAAGCATCTAAAGGGGTCCTGAGACCAAAAAGTTTGTGAATTGCTGACTTAAAGGATGATGTCAGTTATGATCATTCATGTCTCCAAATTAGCAAACCAAAAATCAAAAGCGTGTTAGTGAATTTTTTTTTTTCTTTTTGGTGAGGCATTTCGGGGCAGAGTGACTTGCCCAAGGTCACACAGCTAGTAAGTGTCAAGTGTCTGAGGTCGGATTTGAACTCAAGTCCTCCTGAGTCTAAGGCCAGATCTTTATCCACTGTACCACCTAGCTGCCCCCCAAAAGTGTGTTAGGAAATGAAATCTTCTGCTTGTGCAAAGCTCTCTTCTTGCCTCCTATAGTAGTTTTATATGTGTCCAAATACTAACTGCTATTTCCTACATTTGTGACCTAGGGCAAGCCATGTACCATCTGTGGACCTCAGTTTCCTCATCTGTAAAATCAGGAAATTGGACTAGGTGACCTCCAAGGTTTCTTCTCGAGCTAATGCTACGGTCCCCGGTAGAAAATCCATGCAGCTGTGGGAGATAGAACCTAACAGCTGAGAGGTCGAGTTTGTTGCCAAAGAGAAAAGTCCTTTCTTTTGTCTCCCTGAGATTCTCTCCTCTTCCCTACTCACTTCCTCCCTCAACCTCTAGTGTCAGTCAGCTGAAAGTCCGGCAGGTCTGAAATCAAAGCCACCCTGTGACCTGACTGCTGGCAAACTGCAGAGGAAGCTGACGGCTCAGTGAAGCAAGCCAGTGCTGGGCGGGGACTCTCGTCCTACCCCAAACCCAAAGACTTTGATCCTTGGGCATGCCTGTATACTGGCATTTGGGAAGATTACCTGGTACAAGTGTACCGGTTATATCCTCAGTTTCTTCTGCTGACTCACCTGAACCCATGATCTGTTTGCCCTTCCACGACTGAAGAAGTCATCCAGTCAAAAAGCAGTTACTAATTGCCTGCCGTGTACCAACTGTGCTAAACGCTGGCTGTACGCTACACCCTTCCCTCTCTCCCTCTGACTGTCTTTCTCAGAAATAGTGAAAGTATTCGGCTAAGAAGTGTAGCCATGACACTTTTTCTGCTGCTATTAAAATATTTACAGTGTCACTAATAATACTTTGCACTTTCTATTACAGCTTTTATCTAAAGATCCCCCAGACAGCTCTCTGAATGTTAATTCCCTAAACTCCTAAGAAGAGAATTTGTTTCATTCTCTGAGTAGACTGGAGACAGAGAAACTGTCTCTTTCTTTCTCCTTTTAAAATGAAAAATACTCAGTGGATAGAGCTCTGGCCTTGGAGTCAGGAGGACCTGAGTTCAAATCCAGCCTCAGACACTTGACACTTAACTAGCTGTGTCACCCTGGGCAAGTCACTTAACCCCGACTGCCTCACCAGAAAAAAAAAAAAAGAAATTGACAATACTCTTAACTACCCCATCCTGGTCACTGCCTCCTCCCTTGACTTCTGGGATGCTGCTTTTGTCTCGGTTCTCCTCTTCCAACCATTTTTTTTTATAGTTTAGTTTACCAGATTTTCTTCCTACTTTCTAGATGTAGGTGACCCCCCAAGGCTCTGTCATGGGCTTCACTTTCTATTCTTTTTTCAGTATCTTCTCTAGTTTAGTCTTCCCTGCGGCAATAGTTTGCTAAATGGTCTCTCCCTTCCTCTAGTTTTTTCCCTTCCTTTCCAATCCATCCTCCACATAGCTGCCAAGTTGCTGTTTTGACCATGACTCCTTCCCCCTCAGTCAGAAATCTTCTCTAAGATAACATCAGAAATCCTTAACTCGGCACTAATGGTTCTCAAAACCTGGCTCCAGCCAACCTTTCCAATCTTATTTCCCATCACTCTCCTCAGTCTCCCATCCTGGGACCCTGGGCGTTAGATTGATGAGCATTTATTTCCTTTATCTGACCCAGACCTAGAACCACTACCCAACTTCCCAGTCCTCCTCAGATATGCTGCCTTACCCCACCCCCACCCCTTTCCACCTCCAGCTGTGAGAATAGTAAATCAAATCAATGTCACCATTTCCAGAAAGGTCATGTCAGCTCCAATCACCATCCCTCTGACTTCCCTGTCCAAAACAAAGAAGCAAGTGCTTTAAAAGCAGGAACTCTATTGCTTGCCTCTGTTTGTATCCCTGGTGCCTAGCATAGTCCCTGGCACATAGTAAGTACTTGAGAAATATTTTTTACTTAGTCGTTTATTCCTGGATGCTTAATTCCAACCCAAGGGGCCAGCTCTTCCCCTGTACACAATGTTTTATGAGTCAATCAATAAACACATATTAAGCACCTACTACGTGACAAGTACTGAGCTAATACACAAACATAAACTTAAAGTGGGAGAGGGGGGCATGATGTACATGTGCAGAGTGCAACCAGATGGGAAATGAAGAGATGACTGACCTGGGTAGCCTCCTTACTTGGAGGGTGTGGAAGGAACTCTCTACTCCCCAATCAGAGGGGAGGAGGAGCTCCAGGGATAGAGGGAACTGATCCATGAGGTGTGAGTTCCAGGGCTAGGATGATTTTAAAAGATGAAGATGTTCCTGGGAAGTACAGCCGCAGGGGAAATGAAGAGATGCCTGGTTATCTCTCACAACTTTGCACAAGTGGTCGCTCTTGCCCAGAATGCTCTCCCTTTACACCCTGCTTCTTAAGAGGCCTCAGCATCCTTCAAAGCGTAGCTCAGGTATCACCTCCTAAAGGAGGACTTCCCAAATCCCTCAGCAATTTGCACACTCTCTTTGAAATTACTTAGCGTATGCTTCATGTGCATAAGCGGCATCCCTCCAGTAGAATGTACATTCCTCAAGGACAAGAATTATTTCATTTTTGGTTTTGCATCCCTGATGCCTTATACCAGGCTTGGCACATATTAGTACTTGTATATATATGTGTGTGTATGTATGTATGTATACATATATATGTATACATATGTAATATACATATATTTGTTGATCAAATTGAATGTTCAGTCATTTGGCAAATATGTCTTTCACACCTACTATGTGCAATCCGATGCCCTAGAGAGTATATAAATCTATGGATTTATATGGAACTGTTCTAAGTTTGTCCTTTTCTAGATCAACATTTTCTTCAAAGAGAAAGTAAAAATTTTTGTGTGGAAGAACTAAGTAGTCTAGTGTATCCTGAGTGATCACCAGCTCACTGTCTAAAATCTCTCATCTCTTCTCACCTTTCCTTCTATACCTCTTATATATCTCTTTCTAGCTCGTAATATCTGTCCTGCATAAGGTTTGGTTTGGGTTTTCCAACCAGAAAGATAACGCTGGCTAAAAATAATGACCATAGTCGTAATCTTTGGAATCTATTTCTTGAAATCCCCAAATAATCAATTTTAATGTCCAGAGGATAGGAGGGAGAGCTTGGGATAATGGAGAGAGTGCCGGGCTACAGGAGTCAAGAAGATAAGGGTTTGAATCTTGTCTCAGACATTGACTAGCTCTATGATCCTGGACAAGAAGACACTTCACAGGATGTGGGACTTAATGCCGTCTGACATCAT